AAGAGAAACAAGACACACACCCCCTCCCATCTCAAAAACACACATTCCAATATGTTTCAATACATGAGGCCAGAGACAGTGTATTTTTCTTTCCGTCACAGAATGCCTTCATTTACTGGCACCAGAAAAAGGCCTGGGATAATATTCCTGGTGACGCCACAGTGAAAAATCATACCCACATATGTACACATTTATATTTACACTTCACCTGTTTACTGCGGTGACTGTGGACTCAGCAGATCGGATCAAGCTCTAGCTGCAGAATTATCAATATGCATGCAGTCACATGACTGTGTGTCGCAGTCTGTCCAGTACTCAGGGCATTTCTGTCCTTGTAAGATAGACATTCTGAAAGGAAAAGTTGGGGGAAAGTAGTTTAGTGTTTCATGGTTTTATGCCGAATGGAGATGTAAAACAGGTAGACTGTTTTTTGGGGGGGGTTTTTTTCAAAAGTGAGCCATTGTATTACAATATATTATTTGTCCATCAGTACACATGGTTTACGTGAAAATTCTGCCATATATAGATATATATAGGTCTATATATATATGGCAGGGAAAAATTCAACTCTACTGTTTAGCTAAGGCTAATTTCACAGGTATCATTTCATTACCCTTAATACACACAATTAAATAATATATTCACCATTCTTCCATAATTTGTCAGCAATAAGGACTTGACATGAATGTCTGGAAAAGTAGCCTATCTAACTTATATTCTGTTAACCCCTGATATTTACCTTGATTTTTCTCTGTTCTCCACAATTCACGTCTCATTTTTCTCAAGCTCTTCGTTGTCACAGTTTGCTCCCTGGTAACTAGTTAACTAACTTTTTTCCACACAAAAAAAACCTTTACTTTCAAAATTGTTAAGCTCGAGTCTTCGCTTGATTTGAACGGAATCATACATAAACATTCGTCCACACGTTTATCTTGCTGGAGTTCATCCCAGCCTAACGGTAGGACTCCGTAGGCTACAGGTGGCCTCTGCCTGCCAGTGACATTCCATCAGTGATTTTAATCATTATTGAACAACATATAATCATAATAAAACACTGTTATCCGAGCCTTGAGGTGGCAGCAAAGCAAGTAGAAAACAGTTCTGTGCGCGAGACCAACGAATAAGGACACAGTGCGTCATTTCCTATTTACGTAAATTTTCCCGCGCTGGTTGGTTGTAGGATCAACTCAGCTGTCATTGAGAATAAACAACACTGATAAACTTAAAAATGGCAAACGCAGATCATAATCCAGCTTGTTTGCCTGACTTGTTACCGCTGTATTATCGCAGACTCTTCCCGTTTCCACAGTACTATCGCTGGTTAAGTTATGGCGGTGGTAAGTAAATATCCGAGGCACTAACTCAATCTCTTATCACACACAACGAGCCATTCACTGTTTCATTCACTGTAAGCATTCATTTTCAATGCTTTTTTTGTAGTTTGTGTATAGTACAAAATCTTTCTATAAATATTTCAGTTTAATTAATATGGCTCCTGCATGGGTGCATATATATTCAATAATATTATGTCGCTTCAAGCTTTAAATTCATATTCTACTTAATTTTGCCTCTTGCAGTGTCTAAAAACTACTTCCAGAACCGTGAATTTTCCTTCACGCTAAAAGATGACATTTATGTCAGATATCAGTCCTTCAGCACTCAGAATGAGCTGGAGAAAGAGATGCTGAAAATGGTTCCCTACAAGATTGATATTGGAGCAGTCTACAGCCACAGGGTAATATATAACTCATCATGTTTCTATATTCTATATTGTATTGTATGGAAAGTTGGCATGTCACAGCATTTTGCTAATTATTTTATACTGTTTATTATTTTGCAAAGTTTTTATGACTAGAAATGGATATTATTTGAAAGACATAATGGAATATGCATACTTCTAAATATATAATAGTACTATAGCTATATAGAGAATAGTATTGTATTATTATATAGTGATATAATATAGTCATTACATTTGTATGAATAATTTCATATTTTAATTTATAGATTCAATGAATATTGAGTCTTGGATTATTTGCTGTGTGATTAAATTGGATAAATTCTCAAGTTTTTGACTCTTTAAACTGCTTCATATTTCTTTTGGAAAATGAAATCCCTTATCAAAGAGATCCTAATTCTCTGTTTCTGTGATTGACAGCCCAGTCAACACAACACTGTGAAGTCTGGAACCTTCCAGGCCCTGGAGAAGGAGCTGGTGTTTGACATTGACATGACAGACTATGATGATGTCAGGCGTTGCTGCAGGTATACAGATGCCTTCTCCCCTTTCACCTTAATACGCCTGATGATGCTTATGGAGTAGTGTTTTAAATGCAGTTATTTTGTGCATTTTCTGTTAATATATTCATATTTTTGTTCTTCAGCGCTGCTGATATCTGCTCAAAGTGCTGGACTCTAATGACCATCGCAATCCGAATTCTGGACCGGGCACTTCGGGGTAAGGGGGACCTCTCATCAACAGAACATTTACAATTTAAGTAACATCATAACAGATACAGATAGAACAAAGTTAACCTGCATTGTGCTGTATGTGTGGTTCAGAGGACTTTGGATTCCATCATCTCCTGTGGGTGTATTCGGGCAGGAGAGGAGTGCATTGCTGGGTTTGTGATGATGCTGCTAGGAAGCTCTCGGTGGCGGCGCGGTCTGCCGTGGCAGAGTATCTCAGTTTAGTCAAGGTATTCAAATATCAGTTAGTTCATCATTCTAGAAGTTGTATCCTTGGTTTGTTTACTATATACACGTATCTAGTCCAAAAGCTTGACTTTTTATGCTGTGTTTGAATTAATTGTGTGTCCTGCGCATGTTTCTTTAGGGTGGTGAGGACACCGTGAGAAAAGTTGTGCTGTTAGATCCAATCCATCCTTTCATCAAGTAAGGGGAAAAAATGGCCCACCTTCTATTGTGTCAACATAGTTGGTGTGACTGTAGTCTCTCTCTCTTTCTTTTAGGTGTTCTCTGTCTGTGGTGGAGCGCTATTTCCCACAGTACGCCATTGTGGAACAGGACATTTTAGGCAGTAAGGAGAGTGTAGACAAAGTGCTCGCTCTGCTACCTGAAGATATCCTTTCATCCCCCGTAGTGTTGTCACCTTAACAAGATTTCAGTAGTCGGTACCAATACCAGTACTGTTTATTTCTTTAAGTCTGACTGCACATATCAAAAAGGACCTGACAACCTTTTGTCAGAAGCAGAAAAACCCAATGGAGCGATGGGAAGAACTCTGCACTCTGGTTGAACATAAAAAGGTAAATGCAAATTGGTCGGAAAGCAACACTGAGAGCACCTAATCTCAGGCAAAATAAATCTTTCAGCACAAAATGTAGTTCAGTTTCCCATTATTGTTCTTTGTTTGTGTTAAGTCGAGTTCTAAGAAGGGTGGTCAGTACTTCGATAAGGAGATCATGTTGCAGTACTGTTACCCTCGCCTGGATGTCAACGTCAGTAAAGGAGTCAACCACTTACTGAAGAGCCCCTTCAGCGTGCACCCCAAGACAGGCGAGATCAAAGTTTATTTATACAGTACCATTCAAAAGTTCTGGGGTCAGTAATTATTATCCAGCAAGAATGCATTCAATTGATTAAAAGTCACAGTAAAGACATTTGTTGCAATAAAATTCATATTAGAATGATTTCTGACGGATCATGTGATACTGAAGACTGGAGGAATGATGCTGAAAATTCAGCTTTGCATCACAGGAATAAATTACATTTAAATATAAATCAAATATATTAAATATATATAAAAATTTATTTAAATAGAAAAAATTTGTATTAATATTTCACAATTACTGTTTTTTGCATATAACAGATTGCATATATTTGATCAAATGTATGGTGAGCATAAGAAGCTTCTTTCAAAAACATTCAAAAGTCTTACCGACCCAAACATTTTGAATGGTAATGTGTGTGTTTTTAGTCTTATTTTGCATGAATCATTTTTGTATGTTTTACATTTAAAGTAAAATGGGTTGCAAATGTCGTTACGTGTTGATTTTAAACATCTTAATTCTTTTTGTCTTCAAATTTTTCTTTAGGTCGAATCTCAGTGCCAATAGATTTGAAAGAACTGGACACGTTTGATCCCTTTGAGGTTCCTACGATCAGGTAAATGCTGAATATATCAGTGTCCATCTTTGTGGGGTAGTTCCATATAAAGTTGTAGGACGTGACAACTGCTTTCATATCTCCACTCCTCTGTCTCTGTAGTCTGATCTGTGAGGAGCTGGAGAAACCCAGAACAGATGAGGTGGAGGACGAGGACATGAAGGACAAGGAGAATGAACAAGATGCTGGAGAACGACGCAGAATCAGAGGTGAGCAAACATGTATGACTCCCCAATTTAACTTTTCAAGATTCATCCTCAGTTCTGTGGGCAGGTGCTGAGTGCTAAACATGTTTTTGGTTATGTGTAGACTATAAGCGCACCAGCCTGGCCAAGTATGTAAAGGTCTTTGATAATTTTTTGGAGGCAATGACTCGATCTCGGAAAGGAGAGATGCTGAAGAAGAGTGGTGAGTTGCAAACAAGCTTCTGTTACACATACACTTGATTGGATCCCTAATACATTTGTAATGTAAAGGCTGCATGACACATCGGTTATCAGTCAATTGTATATGTAATTCTGCATGCTCATTTCCTGTTTTTTTTTTCATTTCAAATTACTTTTGAGCATTAAATGACGTTTGTCTTTAAAAACACTTAAATGCAATCTTTAGCAAATATCAAAATGATTATTCAGTTTTCATTCTGTTGATTATAATGCGAGTTAATTTGTAGCATTCTTTCAGAATGATTGATTTTAGGTTTTGGTGTTACTTCATGAATTACTTCAATGTGATTTATTATTTTGCAGATCTTCAGAAAGACTTCTAAGACTGATGAGCTGGGACATAACAGCTAATCAGCTGTTTTTCATAATGCATTTACATGTTTGTCTGCCAACCATCTTTTTGTGAAGATACAGGCACTTTGACTTACAAAGAACAAGTCATGTTATGTATGAATTAATATCAGTTATTTCCATGTGATACTGTTCCTTTACTTTTCTAATAAAATGTTTTCACTAGTTTTGTACTTTTCTCAGGATGGTTTAATTTTTCTACAATCTTAATAAAATAACTTTTACAAATATATTATGTAGCTGTCTGGTTTGGGGGGGGGGAAATCAATTACAAATGAAAGTGGTTGTTCTTCTGACATTTGAATTTAGAGAAAATAATAAGTGCTGGGTAGCTGAGTACAACACACTCAAGTATGATGTTAATTTAAAGCACAAATTTATTCAAAAGCATTTCTTCTGTGTTATAAAACAACAATGATAGACAAGATACAGTTTTAGAAGCAGACTAGACAGCAAAATGTAAACGGCTTGTCTTTGACCAACCATCAGTCTCATTTGGCCATGTCAATTAGACTCTGTAGTGATGTTGGAACCCAGGTTTTCTCGCCTTGCACAAAGACCACTCCACGCTCAATGTAGATGACTATTCTGCCGAATGTGAACAACTGTTTTCCCATATGCCGCTTGGCTACCAGTGGCATGAAGACGATGCCGTTCTCCTCAGCCTTGGCCTGGACTAGATCTTTAAAGTTGGTAGGTACAGCTGTTGGTACCGCTGCGGTGCCTGGTGGGCGTGTGGCAGAATTGTCCACTTCACGGCGCTCAGGCAGAGCCTCGCACTGGAAATCTTTCCTTCTCTCCGTCTGAATCAGATATGCAATGTTCTCTCTTGCTCCAGGTTGCATATAGCCACCTGCAACAAAAAACATGGTAGAATGAGACACCTGTACAAAGCTATAAATATGTTTAGTGGACTTCATGTTATTTTTCTAGAGGATGACTGACCTAGTCCAGTGGCTACGGCACGGTTCATAATATCAAGGGCCTCGTTCAGTTTTTCTTTGACCAATGGGTGACTGAGCAGGTTCTCTGAGAATAAGCTCTTCCAGCCAAGATACCATTTAGTGATCTCCTCATAGTTCGGGTTGTTGCTGAGCCAGGAACACAACACCTGCAACAGGAAACAAAATAAACTTTTAGTACTTCATTCAGATGTAGGAGTGCCACTTAAACGTAAAATGAAGAAATATATTTTTTAATTAAAAAATAAAAAGTACATAAATAAACTTGTAATTTGTAATAAATAAAATATATAACAAAATAATTCATGTGTATGAATTAATGTAGTTCAATGTAACAGTAAAATAATAAAAAGATCACAATTTAAACTTTATATTTAATATTTAAAATATAAAATATTTAATTCATGTTTAAAATGGAGACAATAAACTGATGAAAAAAAAATCAATGCTTTTGCATTCTATTGCAAAAGATTTGCATTTCCACAAGAAACTTTGCGTACACTCACAAAACCTTGATGTTCCCCCAAGAAACTTGTGTGTTCTTTGCAAATGAACGCAAAGTTTTTAAGGGGAACGCAAAAGCATATTTGACATGATTTTCCCTCCAATCTCATATTTTATCCTTTACAATGTCCCTTTTGTGATGTTAGTTAGTTACCGTAAATGTAACAAAATTAATTTCATTTTTTTTTTTAAAGCACTGGCCAATTGCTTTTCTTAAAATAAGTTGATAAAAAACAAAAGGTGCACCGCAGTTCGAGTACGTATGCACTATTGTATGCCATTTTGTAGTATAAATAGTGAGTAGTCTGTTCACACTTAAAATTCCAAAAAGCAAAAGTGTACTTTTTTTTCTCTCTTTTTTTTTTTGTTGCCCAAATGACACACTTTTGTATTCTTTTGACTGATTCTAAAAGACTGTTGGACTGACCTGTAGCCATTTGGGGAAGAAATTCTTATCCAGCAATCCAACCATGGAGGAGACCGAGAGCATCCCCTCCCAGTCCATCACCCAGTTGAACGGCTCCAGCAGTTGCTGATGAGGATTCACCACCAGCTCTCCTAAACATAGAGCTGCAACACAGTAGCAAAACCTTCAGAGACTCCCTCAGACTCCAAAAGTCTGACACTGAAAATCTAGCAGATAAGTGCATACCCAGTTTGGGGACGATATTTTTGACCATGAAGGCCTCCCAGGCCCCAGGTGTGAAGACCTCCCTCCAGGGTTGCAGAATGAGTCTGGCAGAGGAGTCGCTGGGGTGCCAGCGTTGCAAAGCATGGGCTAGTTTGCTGCGGATGGGGGCGTACAGCGGCTCAAGACGGGTTTGCATCAGGGGTAGCCAGGGATGAATCCATGAATGGATTGGCACTGTGTCGGTCAGTGGGTTCCAGTTGTCCACCTATCCAAAAACAGACAGAGAAGTTACATATTGCATGGACACCCATACTTGCGTTTACCAAAAAAAAAAAGTACAGTACACATTGGTCATATATTCAGCACAAACCTCTCTCTGTAGTCGTGGGAAAATAAGCTGCTCCAAAACATTGTCCAGAATCCACAGCGGTAATACAGGAGCCCAGCATTCCACACAGTCCACCATGGGCCCCACATTTCTGGGCTGCCACTGCGACACACAGGTCCTCATGACTGGAACCCACACTTCCCATATCAACCTGCACAAAAAGCTCCAGCTCAAGTCATCTGCTTCCAGAGACACACCACATACACACTCTCAGATATAGTTTACCTGTGATAGTGGTCCATGTTAGAAGTGTCTGGTCCACCGTGAAGAGATTGTGAGCTTTCAAGAATGGCCCTCCATTGACCGACTTCCTCTAAACCATCTGAACAGTCCTATAGATAAACAGAGAATGGGCCTCATTTATCAATCTAACGTAGAAACGAGCACAGATCCGAGCGCAGAAATCATCTTACGACAGGGTTCACGTGTGATTTATGAAACATTCGTATGCTGCCAATCCCATCGTACGAATGATAGTACGTTGATAAATGTGGCAGCTGAAAACAATCGTCATTTGAATAGCACGCCCATAAAAATGCATGATTTAGATGCCTTAAATACCGGTAAATAAAACGAAACATTTACAAACATAAAAACTATAAACTAGGCTATTTTCCCCTCACTCAACAACAAATTCTTCAAATTTAACAGTATTCATAACAGAACAAGAATGAAAAATAAGTAGCTATAAATTATATATTAAACTATAAAACAAAACTAATTAGGCTATAGTGGCATTCATTATAAACAACAGGCTAATGGGCTCACCTGTTGTCATATTTGCAATGTAACATTTGGTTGCTAAACTATATATTAATGATTTTATCGTAGCCACCGCTCATGTCCATATTGATAAAAGTTTTACGTGGAAATGGCCATCCGCCCAGTTTTCTGTCATACGTTTGATTCACAAATGAGGACCAGAGAGTGTAAATGAGTTCAGAGCTTACACACAAGGTGAACACAATAATAAGATCATGAATAAAATGATCTCATTCCAACATTCCCTGTATACACTACAGTTCAAAGCTTTGGGGTCGGTACGATTATTTATTTTAGAACAAGTCCCTTATGCTCACCAAGGCTGCATCTATTTGATCAAAAATACAGTTAAAACAGCAATATTGTGAAATATTATTACAATTTAAAATAACTGTTTTCTATTTGAATACATTTTTAAATGTAATTTATTCCTGTGATGGCAAAGCAGAATTTTCAGCTTCATTACTCCAATTTTAAGTGTCACATGATCTTTCAGAAATATTCTAATATGCTGATATGCTGCTTAATAAAAAATGTTTTTACCTTCAGTGGATCCCAGCTGCGAAGCTTCTCTTTCAATAGAGGATGCACAACAGACACAGCTAGATCTCCCAAACCCAAAGTCTTATATTCCTGATAGAACTCTGTCTGCAGCTGCTGGAAGACCTTCGCACACTCCTGAAGGCTAAGCGCAGAGCTTCCCTCCATATCGCCTGCTTCAAAGCTCTCCACTAGGTTCATCACCTGCTCTAGCCGACCAAGAGACTCTTCCTCCTCTGCCAGCCGGACCTGCAGGGCGTCGCTCTCATGGGTCAGGGTCACCACAGTGTCCTTCTCATGCTGCAGACGTCGTGCACTCTACACACACAACACAAACCCACAGACCATTCAGGTGAAGTACGCGGACATGAATCTTTTTCTACAAGACAAATCAATAAAAAACTTGCTCTATGTATCCGTCATTGACCAAAACAAGAATTTATTATTAAAGGTGCAGTAAGCAATTTCTGAGAAAAGCTGTTGAAAGTGGATCGGACCGAGCAGCACATCACATCTGTAGCCAATCAGCAGTAGGGGGCGTTTATACTCATGATGGGGGAGGAGGGAGAGTGAGCAAGAGGGAGATTTGAAGTCTGTAGAATGAGAGATGGCTGAGAGACATTACAAAAGAGAAAATGTCAGAGGAATATCGCTGGAAAAAAGAAGGTTATGATCAGACAAGAGCTTTAAGACCTGCGTTAATTTGAGAAAATCTTTCCAGCGCTGGAGAGACCTGAGCAGAAAGGCCTGAAAATGGATGCAGAGGTTGCGTTGTTATACCGAACTAAGAGATGCTGTTGTTGTAAAGTTAGCTATAGTAACAGGACAGTTGTGAGTGTCATTGTTTGTCTGGAGATGGTGTGCCACTGGCGACTCACAACCAACCCTTGCTTGTATATACACTTGTGTACTGTTCAATGTACATTTTTTGTTCTTTCTTGTCGTTTGTTCGTCATCTTCACTTTATTTTTCTCAAAGCAATATTTCACTTCACTTCAGCTATGATAAAGAGATATCCACTCTTGCATTGCGTGTTTGTGAATTTTGGGGAGGGATGTGTTTGTTTGGGTTGATTTCAAATATCAACAGTGTTTCTTAGAAATGGCTAACTCCACCTTTAAGTGAATTACACGATTAAACATCATAAGTAAAGTGTGAAGGGTTAGAAGGAATGTCCTACTATATAAAAAAAAAAAAAAAAAAAAAAAAAAAATTATACATCTTTTTTCTCCTACACTACGGCTCTCAAATTCGGGCTTTAAGGAGCACCCAAGTGGTACACCACATGAAATGGACATTTACAAATATATTAAATATTTATATTGCATAAGTGTTACTTTTTGCTAATTTACTGTCGGTTTAGTGCAGGTGTATGAGTGCTTTACCTGTAGGATGTCTTGCTCTGTGAGCTCAATGAGCAGTTTGAGGTTGTGTTCCAGCTCCGGGAGAGCGAAGCCAGTGCTCTTCTGCTCTCGCGCGGTTACGCTCAAAGGCGCCTCCTCAGGAACACTGTGCTTCTGACTCATATGACTGTAGCTATGATACACCTTCTGCTCTCTGCCCGTCATATCGATCACCTGGAACACATGAGGGATGCGTTCATCGTTTACTCTGGGATATATTTAAATGGTTATTGTGCATTATTCTAATTGTTTTGGGCTCTCACCTTGACCTGAGCAAGTTCTCCAGCGGGTCTGCTCATGCTCTTGTTGGCCAGTTTGCCATGAGCTTTCAGCTCTTCCACAGACTTGTAAGAATATCTGGGCTTTTTCTTTGTCGTTCCCGGGTCTTTACGCCATTGCCCCAACTCTCTCTGAAATTCCTGCAAAGATGGAATGAAGAATAAAAGGACAATTGAAGCAGTGCTAGTAAAAACAGTTTGTGGACCTACTGTTGAATTGTTTAGTCCGAAGCTTTTGTTTACTGACCAAAAGAAAAAACTATGGAGTTTTCTCCATGCTGTGTTTACAAGTATTGCTTTAGATCATTGAAATTGCTTATTTGGATATGTGAATCTTTTAAACAACAGTAATGAAGAATTTGAATTTGATTTGTCCAATGTGATCAAGAATTTGATAGCAATCAAAACATAACCATGTCATAAAGCTAATAAAGTATATTATTAAATATTTTTGAGGTTTTTGCAGTTTTGTTTAAATATTTCAGTTTATGATTTTTAATAAAGTTATACAAATAATAGTATTTTTAATTGTTGTATTTAAAGAATAAAATGCCTGATCCAGGGTGGTGCAGTCACTATCATTAAAATTAAGAGCCTTTTTCTAAAATAATACTGCGTCTCAAACTTTTGTATTACACTCACTGTCAGGTTAGGCACTGGTTACTTCGTTATTGCTTATGATTGCCCGTGTGGCTGTGAGAATTTTACTTTCGCTTTCGAATTATCAGCAATTCAGGGGGCGGCAATTGCTTGAATGCTGGGTTCATTATTATTCTTAATGAAAAACAACAACAAAACAGTACAATGACAAATATTGCCAAATAGGTGCTTTTACATATCGCTTTGAAACCAAATCTTCCGCCATCGTCTTGTCAGTCAGCTCGCCTAACACTCATCACTTGATAAAAGAAATTTGCCTCTTTCTGCTGATCTGTGCTGCGACTCTCGTTTGGTTTAAGCTGAATTGAGCAGACGCGTTCAGTTTTTATATTTTCCGGACTATAAGTCGCTCCGGAGTATAGTTGCATCAGTCAAAAAATGCGTCATGAAGAGGAAGCATTTTTCCTCGCATTTTTCCTTCCTTTTCAAGTCGCACTGGACTATTAAGTTGCATTTATTTTCCTCTCCCGGCAGCACGTTGTTCGAGCACCCATCTGTGGACTCGTTCCACCAGCTCTGACCATCTTGCTTTCAGCCCCCAGCTAGAAGCTTTCTTTGTTTTCTTCATTACAGTTAGAGTAACCTCTGCTTTTCACCAGTCTCTCACAAGTTTCTCACTCGTTTCTCACTCACTCCAAACTTTCTTTCTGCTGCTCGATTACCGTTTTCGGCTGCATATTTTACTACCTGCAGTTTGTAATCTGCAGAATAGGATTTTCTTTTTGGGGGCATTTTTTTGTGTTCAGTCTTTCTCGGTTGTCTTTAAGTTAATATTTCAGTTAACAGTTTTCAGTTGTTTTCAGTTAATTTTTTCAGGGTTAGGCTACAGGAGCAGCAAAGAGCGCCCTCTCGCGGCTGTAGATGGTAATTGTAGTGTCTTTTCTCAAAGTGAACTAAATTACTTTTATTAAATTAAAAAAAATCTAAATGACAGTGGGGGGCTGTGCCTCTATGGGCAAGTGATGTAATCGTAGTCCTGCTGAACACCGTGTAACAACGGTAACACGGACTAATCACAGCAAGCCTATTATATATTGGCCAGACAGCACCAAAACCCATGTGTTATAGTGTAGACTTACTTGCTCCTCCTCTTCCTCAGAGTCTATAACAGGGAAATCCTGCAGGGACTGCTGGGTCCTCTCATTACCATATGCACCAACTGCTCCCTTCCCCTTCCGCAGCTTAGCTTCAATAGGATTCACAATACCTGCAGACAAAGATATTCACATTATGCTACCGGAAATGGATTTCCGGGTAAGCACACAATGCATAACATAATTCACAATAAGCTAAATACACTAAAAGCAGTATACTGTGGTATGAAATAAAGGACTGAATTTTTTTTACCCTGAGCATTTTTGCCCAATCCTTTTCCTGGAACGTAACCCATCTTCTGCAGAAGTTTTTGACCAATGCCTCGTGTGTGTTTCTCCCAGGATCCCAGGTCCTGGCCTGTTCTAATACCGCCTGCAAACCTCTGGGATGTCTTAAAGCTCCCACCCTAAAAAGAATTCAAAGACATTTACTATACAGTTCAAAGGTTTGTGGTCAGTAAGACTTTTTTGAAAGATATAAATACTTTAGCAAGGACATATTAAATTGATCAAAAGTAAAGAGTAAAAACATTCATAATGTTACAAAAAAAATTATACATTTCAAATAAATGCTGAATAAGAAATGTTTCTTGAGCACCAAATCAGATTTCTGTAGGATCATGTGACTGAAGACTGGAGTAATGGTTGATGAAAATTCAGCTGTGCATCACAGAAATAAATTATATTTTAAAATATATCAAAATAGAATAATATTTAACAATATTACTGTATTTTACTGTATTTTTTAACAAATAAATGCAGGCTTGATGAGCATAAAAGACTTCTTTCAAAAACTTTTGAATGGTAGTGTATGAAGATATATTTGGACCCAATATTCAAGACAAAGATGCTGTTCTTGTGTAACATTTGTAGGCTAGGCATCTCAACATACCGTTTGGAGCTTTTTGGGAACTGCAGTGCGAGGTGGAGGAGGTGGTGCATCTCCACTGTCATTGGAGTCATCTGAACCCTCCTTCTCCGCTTTCTCCTCAGCTGCAGTCTTTCGTATGCCACCACTCACAAAGTTCACAGGAGCTGAATAGTCTTTTGCTCTGTGTGGATACAAATATCAATACTGAATGCTGAATTAAATATATGACGAATAAAATTATATTCATTCACTACTTAGTCAACAAGGTCTCTAGCAATTTGACAGCTGAAACATTTATCAACAACAAGTTAACATACCTTTTCCCCCCAAAGCTGGGCCGCTCATCATCAGAGTCATGCTCTGCCCAAATCCCATAAGTCGCTTCTTCTTTAGTCTGTCTGTGTCTGCGTCTGTCTGGGTTGAACTCATTGGCCAAGTCCCACTCAGTCACCTCAAACTTTTCAATTTCCACACCATCCTCCTCCTCCTCACCTCTACGCCCATACAAATGGGACATAGACATATCTCTGTTGGGATGAAATAATAATGTTTAAGGCCAGGGGGTTAACAAACTGGGGTCTGAGGAGGAGGAATAACATTAATTAGAGTACTAGGAGGGTCATGGAGAAGTTTAGAAAAAAAAAACAGTGTAACATGTAAAAATTAATAAATAAATAAAATATTAAAATAAACACATAACACAACTACCAGTATTATAGAGAGTAGAAAAATGTAATATAGTAACTATATACTCACATACTTATAATGTAATATTTAGCCGTATAAATTGATTTGAGTCTTTATACATGTATGAATATGTCGAGCTGCCTCTTAAAATTTTAGGATGTGTGTGCCATGCAAGAGGAAGATGATATTTGGGGGTTCGTGGAGTCTAAACGACGGAAGTTACATAAAGGTGAATCCGCTTATTGTATTTTTTTAAAGCATACCCACATGATAAAAGGGAGTGTTTTGACCCTAATATTAGAACGCCACGCAATCGTTTTCAAAAAATATTCAGGTTAGTTAGCTTAGCAATGCTATTTATAATGTAAACAAAAACACCTGCCTTTCTTCAAAGCATTTTTGTGACTTTTGTGAAATAAGAAATAAACACATTTGTATTGAAATAACATACATAACACATAAAAAAATATTTTACCCGAAAATGCGGTTCCTCACTGCCAGCAAGAGTGCATCGAAAAATAACTTCCTGTTGAAGCCGGAAGACAGAGCTGTGACATCAGAGCGACGCAGAGGTCAGAAACCCTCTCTTACAGCCATCTTGGATCCTGTGCCCTGATCTAGTGAGTACTTCTGTGTTACATCTACTGTCATCCAACATTGCATTCGTGCTTTTGCCCTCTCATTTACTACTTGTATTGATGCTTTAGTGTTCCTCTGTACTAAACGGTAAAGATTTCTTGGTTTGACTTCTTTATTGAGGAAATATCTTAATGAATACAGCCGGCAGACTGTTCAAAATGGGGGAGCGAGACGCACCGCAGCTCGCTTTATGCGAGGACTTCAACCGAGTGCTTTGTATCTGAAGAACCGGTTAAATCGTGTGAAATATATTATTATAAACAAATACAGCAATATTTATGAGTCGTCTGTAATGTAATAGTTAAAATAATTAGCATTGTGTTGGACAGTAATCACTGATTTAAAAGTTGATCTCGCGTATTAAATCGTTTAAAAACAGAGTTAACGTTACACGTGGTATGATAACATTACATTATTAATGCTTTTTGTCCACGGTGTTTTGTTTTCGTTTGGTTATGAGTTACTCATACACAGCAGCAGCGTGACAGTGCTGCTCTGTTACACACGTGAAATGTGCATCCTCACTACACATGCACCTATGAATGGCTTGTAAAACTAAGTTTGTATGTCGTTATGATTCTAAATAGGCCATACTCTGTATGTGTGTTGATGTAACGGTGAAGCTCACCGTTTCTGTACAGTGGACTTGTGAAATGTTTTATCATGTGAGCTCAATGCTTGTGAAATGTAACAGTACTAGTGGGTTAATTCAGCTGATAGCAGAGGCCTACAGGAAGAGGCCTGGTGCGCTGGTCTGTCTGAATAGTAAAAGCCACATGAACTCAAAGACCCAGACTAAAACTTATTGACTTTCCTTTTGCAAAGCTATCTCTCATTTCTGTTGCAGTCCAGAATGCCAGGCGAAGCCACAGAAACTGTCCCTGTTACAGAGCAGGAGATGCAGCAGCCCCAGGCTGAGACGGGTTAGTAACTATCTTTAAATGTGCATGTCTGACACTAAACAAAAGTTGAGTGAGGGGTCCTGGAGCAATATTGTTTTTCACTTTTTAAAATATAAGGCAGATACTGGAATGTTGATCAGTCTGTTTAGGCTATTTTTGCACCTGTTTCAGATGTCCTTCGTGTTTCTTTTATGGTACTCTACCAGCTGTTGTAGAGACTTCACAAAGCCAGTTTCTCTAGTTGGATGGGGTGTCATGTTGTTTTGTTGGGTGGGGATGTAGTTTGAGTCAGTTTTTCTCCACCTAGAGGTTTTTAAAGTTAATTTGCTTGAGCCCCTCCCTGTATTGCAAACTACACTAGTTTTATAAAAGGGAGAGTTCAGACAATTTTCATGTTGGTCCAAACCTGTATGACTTTATTCTGTGGAACACAAAAGATCAGTTAATGCAGTTTAAAACTACACTGGAACCATTGGCTTCCATTGTACACTACAGACAAATAAAAAAAACCTTTTTTTAAATAACCCCTTTAAGCTGCAACAAATACCTGCTGTGTATGATTTAAGTATATAGTGATTGGTTATGAGGTATTGACACACAACATTAGTTTTTGAAAAATAAGAGTGATCCAGGACGGCCTTGCCCAACAGTGTTAGCCTGTACTGTTTAATATGGTACTTTTTGTTTTGTTTGACATTGAAAGCACATGCATCCTTAAATGTTTTAATGGAATGTGGGCAATGCAACACTGCATGAACGTTTTCCTAACATTTCATTGAATTTGAGTGATCTACACCTGAATATTTATACACATTTTTTAACCATTTTTTTTTTTGTGTGTGTTAGAATAGAAAGTGTTTTGTTCTTTTTCTGGAGGGATTTATTGTGTTCAGGAATGTATTTGCCAGATCTTCATGAGAAGCATGAATTAAATATGTTTACAATGTAAGAAGACTTATAATGATCCTGATCTTGAGGAACACTCTTTTCTGTTCATATCTTGAGTACAAGGTTTTTAATTTTACAATGGGAATGTTAATTCTTGAATTTATGTAGCAAAATTAAGTTTTGTAAAGTACATTTTGATTAAGCACACACATCTCGGTCAAATATCTGACAAGTTTAGCCAGTTCATTCAATCACAGGTATGGAACACTATCTCTTGGATGGTACACTGATAGTAAACTGCAGTTATGACAACATGGGAAAGAAATATGATTGCTTGCATCTGTTACAAGGAATAACAGAGGCATCTTTGTCAAGGGGAAGACAAGATAGGTTGAACTAAATATATTTCTATGTTTTTCACTAGGCAGAATGTGATAGCCTTGGTTTTTGAGATTCATTTTATTTCTCCTCAGATTAGTAATTCAGGAGCCAAGTATTTAATACATTCTTTGACTAAAGTTCACATATTTCCTAATATCCTGACTGGGGTTGTGCCGATAGACGATTATGTTGTTGTTGTTGTTGTTATCAGACTAGTATTATCAAATTAATATTAGGACCTACAATTAATTTGCCTTCCCTAATTTCATAACATAACCACTTGCGACACCAACATATGGGGATTGAGGACTCGATGATAATGTTTTTAAAACCGACTGCAAAATTTAATTGGAAGGTGATCAATTTACAAATTGTCAAGGGTCCTCCTTATAAAAGACGCATCATTATTATACAGTCGTTGTTTAAGGCAAGTAGAAAATGACAGTTGTCTGTTTCGTTTCCATAGCACATTAACAAAACATTTTAAAGGACACTAAAAATACAACTTCAAATTATTATTTATAATATTACTAAATAATATAGGCCTAATAACAGTCTTCTTTAGATCAGAAACGCAGCACAATAATAAGTTATAGATGAAAATGAAAAGCAGCTTAGAGCACCGACTTGAACACTTGTTTAACAAGAAATATTGATTCTTCTCATTGTTTCCCTATCATTAATGTATAATCCACAAGAGAAAGTCAGATGCCAAAAGCTTGGTCATTTTTTTTTTGCTTTCACTTTCAGGGAACAATTAACTGGTTTTAGACACTTTCACCGGCATAACGCTTGTGCAAAGTTTGTATGCGTGATATGCGACATGGCATTTTTCTTCATCACCAACTCGATCTTTGCTTAAGAAATGATTCTAATTTCCCGTGGTGATAAAACAAAGTAAACAATTACATGAGCAAATATAATGGTTTTAGGGGTGACCCCGAATAGTCGAAGATTCGATGCTTCGATAGGAGGAGCCTGATTCGACTACCAATCTCATGGTCGAATCTTCGAAGATGTGTTATTAAACGAGGATTATGTCATTTTGGCTATATGAGTGTGCTCAATGTCTGATTTCACATAGAACTACTGGTTTTCTGTCAATACGTTAATATACAGCCTATTATGATAATGCTGTCAATAAAAATGTGCAAAGAAAGAAGCTTTTAATAAATATTTTTTTAACGTGCGTGCAGCGTGAATAAATCCAAACGCCCAGTGACAGATTTAAGTTTCACTTTCGATCCGTGACCAACAGAGGAGCGTCTTGTCGGCAGGGATTTAAATCTTTAAAAATGTCTGAAAATCTAAAGATGCACACAGCACACCATCAGAAAGGATATTCTCCAAGGCTGGATTTAGCATCAGGAAAACCATGATCGCACTTCTGCCGGCCAACGTTAACAGGTTGGTTTTCCTCGGGACATTCTAAAACGCTTAACGTGAAAAAAGCTTTTAAAACGCTTAAAGGGCACTTTTACGTGCTTAATGTATGTACACAGTAGGCTACACACCTTAAGAAAGCATTCTATGTGCAAATAAGCAGATGAACCCAGAATATGAACGCAACGCATTTCTCCTATAGAAAGTCACGTAAAGCTTTTTCTTTAACGGTTTTCTATGGGAGGAAAATGCTTAACGTAGGCCCTAGCCTATAATAAAACGCGTTGCGTTCATATTCTGGGCTCATCTGCTTTTCTGTAGGCTATAGTAGGCTATGCTTTATTAATAATTTGATCTTTTAATATAACAGTTTTAGGACAAAGCCGTTAAGCGTTTTAGAATGTATTTTATCCGCGCACACAATTTGAAAAGACTCAAACGGACACAGGCCGAGTGAAAGGCTGGATTTTGTTTTCTCGATCAGTTATGGGTACAAGTGATTTCAAAACATTTCAGCCGGTTCTAATTTGATTTTTGGATACTGTGAACACGTTTAGCTAAAAAGACTGCCACTCCAGTTTAGCGTTTATTGTTGTTTCTGCAGTTAAAAAGACAAAGTTGACAATCCTGGCCATACTTTCGTTATTTTAATAATTTCTTTATTTTAATTTTATTAATTGATCACTCAGGGTGATCTTATTTAACTATTTGTGACTTGTGTTTTGAATATTTGTTCCCCTGCACTTTAGGCATTTTGTTCACATTTGTTCTGCTTCTTGTGACTTGATTCTGACTTATTTCGTTTTGTATTTTTATTTATTATAAATGTATATTGTGTTCTTAATTGTTGATTATTTTTCAGTGCATCGATGTTGCGTTGTAGGCCTACTTAGAGTATGCTCGTACAGGCGATTCAATTTGAATTTAATTTGATTTGCATGTGAAATGCAAATCCTATCTGCAGTGTGGCCTTTCTGCAGTTATTTATGTTATTTCTTAGTTTTATTGATCCAAAATGTTTTTATACATTTTCTACTATATCTTTGTGTGATGTTCTGTACATCGCGGCTTTAAAATGTTAAAGCCCCTCCCCAACACCACACACATGATTCGACTATTAGTCGACTATAGGCAGGACTTGACTAATCTGATTCGACTATGAAAATCCTTAGTCGGGGACACCCCTAAATGGTTTATTTATTTACTATTGTGTATAGTGTATTTATGTAATACAGTGTATCGGCTTTCTTACAGGCTGACGATAGGACTATATGACTTGGAGTAGGCAATATTATACTTGCTTTTAACTGGGTGATTGTCCTTTCAGATTTTTAATATTTTGTCTATGTAAGAAACATTATGGTTAATAAATGTGCCAGAGAACAATGTTAATTTAATAGGCTAAATGTTTTTAGATGTTGTTTATTGCCAGTGCCTGATGGTTCACGCATGTGCAGTTGAGTGGTTTTTACAGAGTCTTAACAATTCTTAACCAGATTTCAAGGTGTGTTTGATTTGCTTTAGTAGCCATTGCTTTCGTGGAACAGTTTAACATTTGAACAATTGAAAGCATCCCCTCATAACCAGCATGGATGTGACGGTTTTACATCATGCAACTTTTTAATTGCCAAAAAAAGTCACTCTAGCATTTTATTTCCATTAGCCACACCTGCTGCTGCGGCCCCTACTACCTCTCAGGCAAAACCTAAAGAGGGCAAAACTAACCCCAAGCTGTCCTCTTCTCACGCCACCACTCCTAAGCCAGTTCCTGCTGGACGCAGGAAGCGCTCCTCTCTATCTGCCTCCTCAAGCTCCCCTACCTCTCCTAAATCTGCCTCCGGCCCACGTGCTACCCCTCCATGTTCCCCTTTGGCCTTCCCTCCAGTTGAGACTCCTGTAGCTTTGAAAGCTGAGCAATCTGCTCCCAAGGTGGTAAAGGCTGGCAAACAAGGGAAGCAACAGAAAACAAAGAATTTTAAACCTGCCGAACATGAGCAGGCGCCTCCCTCTGCCTCCAAGCCTGCTCAAGAGCCTGCATCAGTGGCAGCTCTGCCATCTCTTGCTGTACCAATTCCAGAGGTAGCAAAACCAGCAGCTGATGCTTCCCCTGTCTCTCCCAAAGTTGCTGTGGCTCCTGTGGCCTTTAAAGTGACTTCAAAATCTGCTGTCCCAGCACCCAAGTCATTTTCAGAAGCCGTGGCCACCTGTCCACCCAAAGTGGCTGAAACCCCCAAGTTTGCCTCTGAAGCTCCAAAAGTAGCAAAGACTGGCCCTGCCCAAGTGCCAAATGTGAATCCAGCCACTGCTGCTCCATCAAAACCTGCTCCTCGGGTTGTGCCTGCAGAGTTTGAGGATGATGATCTCCCACCTCTCTTACCACCCGAGAATCCTTTTACAATGCCTGCTTTCCCCCCCATGCCACCTAGTGTAATTTCTGTAGTTACCCCAACAGCTCCTAAAGCTGAACCTGTCGCCTCCAGTAAAGTTGAATCTGGCCCTGCCCTTAAAGCGAAGGTTGCTCCTAAAGCTAAGCCAGCTCCTAAAGTTGAACCTGTCCTCACCCCTAAAGGAGTGACTACCCCTGTACAGAAAGCAGTTCCTGCACCTAAAGTTGAGCCTGTCTACACCCCTAAAGATGAGTCTACTCCGGCCCCTAAAACTGAGGCTGCCCCTAAGATAGAGGCTGCTCCTGCACCTAAAGCTAAGTCTACCCCTAGCCCTAAAGCTGAGCCTGCTCCTGCCGCTAAAGTTAAACCTGTTGCCTCTCCTAAAACTGAGGTGGTGGCCCCTAAAGTTGAGCCTGCTCCTGCTGCTAAAGTTAAACCCGTTACTGCCCCTAAAGCTGAGGTGGTGGCCCCTAAAGCAGAGTCTGCTCCTACCTCTCAGGTGGAGCCTGCCATTAAAGTCGAGACTGCTGCCGCTAAAGTTGAGGCTGCTGCCCCTGCCGTTAAAGTTAAGCCTGCCCCTAAAACGAAGTCTGATCCTTCCTCTAAGGTTGAGCCAGCTGCTGCCCCTAAATTTGAAGCTGCTCCCCTTAAAGTTAAACCTGTGCCTGCCCCTAAAGTTGAGGCTGCTGCCCCTTCCCCTAAAGTCAAACCTGCTGCGCCTGCACCTGAAGTAGAGGCTGCTGCCCCTAAAGTTAAACCTGTGCCTGCCCCTAAAGTTGAGGCTGCTGCCCCTTCCCCTCAAGTCAAACCTGCTGCGCCTGCACCTGAAGTAGAGGCTGCTGCCCCTAAAGTTAAACCTGTGCCTGCCCCTAAAGTTGAGGCTGCTGCCCCTTCCCCTAAAGTCAAACCTGCTGCGCCTGCACCTGAAGTAGAGGCTGCTGCCCCTAAAGTTAAACCTGTGCCTGCCCCTAAAGTTGAGGCTGCTGCCCCTACCCCTAAAGTCAAACCTGCGCCTGCCCCTAAAGTCAAACCTGCGCCTTCCCTTAAAGTTGAGGCTGCTGCCCCTTCCCCTAAAGTCAAACCTGCCCCTTCCCCTAAAGTTGAGGCTGCTGCGCCTTCCCCTAAAGTCAAACCTGCCCCTTCCCCTAAAATTGAGGCTGCTGCGCCTGCCCCTAAAGTTGTGGCTGCTGCGCCTCCCCCTAAAGTTGAGGCTGCTGCGCCTGCCCCTAAAGTTGAGGCTGCTGCCACTAAAGTTAAACCTGCATCTGCCCCTAAAGTTGAGGCTGCTGCGCCTGCCCCTAAAGTTGAGGCTGCTGCACCTGCCCCTAAAGTTGAGGCTGCTGCACCTGCCCCTAAAATTGAGGCTGCTGCGCCTGCCCCTAAAGTTGTGGCTGTTGGGCCTGCCCCTAAAGTTGAGGCTGCTGCCACTAAAGTTAAACCTGCACCTGCCCCCAAAGTAGAGGCTGCTGCGCCTGCCCCTAAAGTAGAGGCTGCTGCCACCAAAGTTAAACCTGTGCCTGCCCCCAAAGTTGAGGCTGCTGCCCCTTCCCCTAAAGTTGAGGCTGCTGCGCCTGCCCCTAAAGTTGAGCCTGTCCTTGCCCCTAAAGTTGAAGCACCTGTTCCCAGACCACTTAAAGCCCCATCTATACTGGAACCAGTCATCAAGAACGACAAGGGTATCTCTTTCTGTCTGTCTTTGCTTTCTGCGTTTGTTGTTGTTGCCAAATGTTGTCCCCCCATAATGCTTTAGGGTCACATTATCAGTGAAAGTAAGCCTGCTAACTCCAGGATCTGAAAATCTATCCTTAGTCTTTGAGTGAAGTTGAAGTTTAAGAAAGTAGGAGCATGTGCCAGTAGCTGAATGTTTTTTGAGTATCAATATGAATATTGTTCAGCGTTTCATGTATAATTGGAATTTACTTTAAATACTTTTAAACAAACTGCAAGATAGAATATAAAGAAAGTATTTATTTTGATCATTTCAACAGTATTCTGGTGAAAATGTGTTCTGTGTGTCTAATGGCAAATCAATGTAATGTATGTTTTAGGATCTGGCACTGAATCTGACAGTGACGAATCTGTTCCTGATCTGGAGGAGCAGGACTCTGCACAGACACAGACACAGCAGGCACAGGTAATATTATTTTAAACGGCATCCACCTGTAGGGCTGGTCCGAATACCATTTTTTGAGATTCGAGGCTTCGGTAGTAATCAACACAGAATATTCAAAGGTTCAGACAGCTAACAGATAACAGCATCATAAATTTCAATTAATGAACAGTTCATTTAAAATTAAATGAATTCCCTTATATAGAATAAAACAAACTGCAATAGGCTAAATAGAACAAGGTAACATTAGGCTGGCTAACGTTCACTCGTGGGCGATTTTACTGGGGCATATGACGTGCCAGTAAAATCTCACGTTTGAGTTTTAACAAGCTGCTATATTTCGCAGTAGATTAATTTAGATTGATAATAATGGGTAAAAACGCTAATACATTTTGTTTCTATTGTTCTATTTTGCATCTGTATTTCGCCAGATTTTAGTGAAAACATATATAAGCGCGAATAGGGATGGGAATTGATAAGATTTTATCAATATCAATGCCACTAACGATTCTGCTTATCGATCCAATTCTTTAACGATTCTCTTATCGATTCCTGATAGCACTGTGAGGGAAAAAGTAGTCTTTTTCGGGGGAAAAAACAAGTTGTTTTATTTGTTTTAAAGCTTACACTTGACTAAGCAAACTGTACTTTTTATGTAATAAATGGAACCTTATTTGTAAAGTGTTACCGATTAGTTATACACCGATTAAACGCCCCGTGAGTTCAGTGTTGGAAAGATCAGTTGTTTTAACCATTCATTAAAACGAATCGGTTCAAATGAGTAATTAGTTCGCGAATTGGACGTGTCATTATCGGACGTGTGCTCGTTGTGTGATTATCCCGGCAGTTGGGACATCCCACAAGATGTGTGTCATCACAGAAAACATTTCATCACTGGATCGTTTTTTTCGTTTATTTGAAGTGTGATTATGTCAGCTGAATGTGCGGAACACTTTTCAGAGAAGATAAGGCAACGTATTTTAGCACAATTCACACCCAGCGGCAATTCAGGAAAAACAAATCTCCGAATGCTCCACAAAAAACTTTAGTCTCCCTACCTTACCATCGTGTCGTTTATTTTGATTAATATGTGCGAGGGAGAGAGGAAGACAGCGCTTAGTTTTGAGACGGTGAAGCCTACTTTCGCCTTGCTCCGAAGAGAGAGAGTGCGTGCGCGCGACCGAGGCTCTCTCGCTCTCTCTCTCTCTCTCTCTCTGCTCGATCAGTTTAACATGCGCCCTGTCACAAGCGCAGCGGTTCATCTACATTACCAGAGAGAGACCATTTTACTCACTGATCAAATAAGACTTTGCAGGACAAAGATTAGCTTTGGACGCGGTGCTATGGTGCTTGATAAAGGACAAAAGGGACAGAGCAGGAGCATCGATAAGAGGACTCGTTAACGTCGAGGGCATACAATATCGATGGATCGTAAAATTTAGAACCGGTTCTCGAGTGGAACCGGTTTTCGATTCCCATCCCTAAGCGCGAATGAGAACAGTTTCGAGGAGGATGCCAGGTGTGCGGGGAACTAATATTTGAATCCCAAAATTTAAAATCGAATACCAACCCACCGAGCGAATATTCGGGTCCAGTCTTATCTACCAGTAGCATTATTTGCCCTCCACTTTTTCTCACACCAGTTCTTTTTCAATTTTACATTGATATGAACTGAAATTGCATTACCTTTCTGTAGCTTGCAGCTGCAGCTGAAATCGATGAGGAACCTGTCAGCAAAGCAAAACAAAGCAGAAGTGAGAAGAAAGCCAGGAAGGTAGGTCATCCTCAAACCAAATGAATGATTAGAACACCTAATTCAATTAGAACGCATGCACTGTTGTGTTTAACTGTACCCTTGCTTCCCTTTGCCAGGCCATGTCCAAATTGGGGTTGAGACAAGTTGCTGGTGTTACCAGGGTAACCATTCGCAAGTCAAAGAACATTCTCTTTGTCATCACCAAACCAGATGTCTACAAAAGTCCAGCTTCAGATACTTACATTGTCTTTGGTGAGGCCAAGGTAAAGATTAGAAAAAAAAAAATGGTTTCTTTAAGTTTGGTGTGCACTCCTGCTATATCAGCCCTGTTTTGGTAGAAAACTAATTCTACAGGGCAACCTTTCCTGGTTATCTCGGCCTAAGTGACCTCTCAATGATGATTTAAACAGTTTGACTTTCGTTCTTCTGAGTCTGATGAAGCCAAACTTTCTGTCCTGAAAGGGGAAACTTTCACAATGATGTGAGGAACACAATGAAGCTTACAAAACAAACTAAAATCTGGATTGTTTCTGCTGTTCTCAGATTGAAGACCTGTCACAGCAAGCTCAGTTAGCAGCTGCAGAGAAATTCAAGGTTCAAGGAGAAGCCGTTTCAAACATCCAGGAAAACACACAGACGCCCACAGTACAGGAGGAGAGCGAAGAGGAAGAGGTGTTTATCAACACTGTTGTGATTCTAACACAGAATAATACTGCTTTCATGAAAGGTCTTGTGCTGATGTATTCAACAAATGTGAAAAGTAAATATGTCCTCATTCATTGAGTGATTTGATTTACCATTTACAGGTTGATGAGACCGGAGTGGAGGTCAAGGACATTGAGCTGGTCATGTCACAGGCCAATGTATCGAGGGCGAAGGCTGTGCGTGCACTAAAGAATAACAATAACGACATTGTCAATGCTATTATGGTGAGTTAAGCTGATAACGTCTCACTTTATGCAGTTAAATGCATTTTACAATTTTTATATATATATAAATGTCAAAACTCTTCTGTGATGAATCAACATATGACTTTCGTTCTTCTGAATTTGTCCTGAAGCCAGTTCATTTGTCCTGAGAAGAGCTCAGGCTTTAAATGCAGTGTCATAATATGAAGCAGTCTTACTCAATTTATCTTTTTCCCTGTCTTCACAGGAATTGACGATGTAGATGGAGATCAGGGACTGGGTCACAATAAGATGTTGCTGATTTGATCTACACTATTGTTTGTACAATTTATACCCAAGAGAAATAAAGGAGTGGATTGAAGAAATGATTTATGTTGTTGTATTTTGTTTATTTTATACTATTGATGGAAATTTTCATTGTGTGGTGAATTTGTCCAGAGAAGCACAAATCATTATTTGCATTGAGGAAAGGTATGAACTAGCTCCTTTCTCTGTCTGAGGATGGATCTTTGCTGTGATTAAATAAAAATAAAAAGTTCTGGTGTAGCTCTTGTCTTTCTCCTGGAAATCAGCTTATTAAACTGTGATTAAAGACCCATGGATTACTTGGACTATGTCAGTGAAGATCAATATTTTTATATATACATGTGTGTTCTTTGAAACGCATTAATCTGAAGTTTAACCTGCTTACTGGTAGGTTTCATTTAAGTAAGTTTAGCCCTGGAGTAGCTCTTAAGTCTTCCTCCAGGAAATCATGGTCATCTGGTATGTTCTCCAAAGGTTGCTGGCTCTCAATTATAATTGTACCTTTATTTGCAGGACCGCCAGTCTTAAACCTCTCTTCGAGTGTCAGCAGCATTTTTTTTTAAGGTTTATTTTTACATTCTTCCACAACACTGTATTGAATAACTATTGTAATGTCCACCACAGATTTCTCAAAACAGCTAGGTAATATAGCTGATGATTATGTCTTGCCTGAAGTTGTAATATTCTTGCTTTAAATTAATTACAAACAGATTTCCAGGCATTCTTTTTATTTGATTCATCAGCTGATGTGTGCATTTTTCTTTTTTTGATTAAATTATTTTACATAGATTAGCTTCTCAATTGGCTTTATGCCACAGCTTCACTACTTCCTGAACTTCAGCCAGCCCTTTGTTTCCTGTCTGTCATTATTGGACAAACTGATTAATCCAGGTGTGCCTGGCCTCAGTGACAATAATCAGGCACACCTGGATCAATCAGTTTGTCCAATAATGACAGACAGGAAACAAAGGGCTGGCTGAAGTTCAGGAAGTAGTGAAGCTGTGCATAAAGCCTATTCCGTACAAATTTAAGATTTTCTCGTTTGATTCCATGTGTATAGGCTACCTCAGTCGTGCTAATTCATATTAGCACAGTTAGTTTTAAATTAATCTTGTTTAATTTAGTTCAGGACTCCATGTGTTAATTTGTTTTAGAAAGCCATTAAGACATAAACAACTATTCTAGATTAATACCTGCTCTGTCTTTATTTAAACCCTGTTTGGGAAACCGCCCCTAAATGTTTAAAATATTTTTTTTTATTAAGTGTGAGATAAGGTCATAGGTTAATTTTAGTCTTGGGTGTATAAATGTCTGAAATTTAGTTTTAGATTTGTACAGTGTGAGGGACTTTTAGTTTGGAAAAGGAACAATGTTTGTGTTGATCTCACGTGTGCACTGGCGTTTGTTGGATTTGGAAGATCAAATATTCACAATTACTTTTACGCCGCTATGAATTTTAAATTCTCTCCAGCAGCACACATGCTTACACACATGCTTACAAATACTCGATAAAAAAATTGTACAAAAAAATCGTGTTAAAATCGTAATATCGCGTTACTTTATGTGTTGTGTAAGTTCTTAGCGAATCAGCTAACAGGCATCGGATCCGGACAGGTCAAATCATAAAGTGCATGAAGGGAGTTTAAATGGTGCGTTCTGTCACTCAAATCCATTCACAAGACTGAAATGGCTGTCAGGATAGCTTTGGTTGGAGCTTTACGTTATGTGGGCTCCAGGACGAGTGTGGTTAGTTCACAGCGACTGCTCTGCTCTCTCGAGAAAGGACGAGGATCATCTGGCAGTGTAAGGGTGAGAAGATCTCACTTCTCGTTCTCACTATAGTTTAGCAATGACCTAGTTTACTGTCATGCTCGCATGTTTCTTGTCACTGCGTGTACTAGTCAAGAATGAAGATACTAAAACCTAGAGATCTGCCCATCCAGACATCACTAAGCAAGCATGTGTATTGTGTGTTAGGCTAATCGTGTTCATTTTGTGTCATAGGTACTGTATGATGGAGAATGCCCAATATGTGTTAAAGAAATTCGCTTACTTCAGTTTCTTCAGAGAAACAGAGCAGAAAAAGTTGATTTTGTGGACATTTCACTGCCAGAATATGACGGGACGAAATATGGAGTCAGTTATGAGATTGCAATGGAGGAAATGACAGTGATTGATACGAATAACAAGGTGAGTGATCAGTTTCCCACTTTTATCATGTGAAAAATCTCAATAGCATTGTGTTTCAAATGTATTTCAGATATTTGTATGGTGTTTATTTTCAATACATTTCACAATACCTGATCAAATATGTGATTATTATCCCTCAATGCTACTGTTTCTTTTGAGGGCAGATTCATCGTGGTGTGCCAGCTTTTACAGTCATGTACAGTGCGGTGGGTTTGGGTTGGCTTGGACGGTTCATCTCTCTCCCACTCATCAGGCCTGTAATGGATCGCGCCTACGTGATGTTTGCAAGAAACAGACTGAAGTGGACCGGCAGAGAGGGCTGCATCACTGGACGCTGTGTTAAAAAAGAGACATAAGGGTCTCAGAACTTTAAAATGGGCTCCATGCTATACTATCATGTCAATGGATGTATCGTCGTTAACAGTTGTTGTTACTGTACGTTAAAGCTTACTTTTTTGCATCTAATATTTAAAAGAGTCTGAATGTAACTGTAATATCCATATATACTCAGAACAAATTATTTTTTATTAAGTAAACTTTAAAAAAAAAACTTTAACTACACTTTAAAAAACAATGTAATATCTGTATATACAATAAATTATTCATACTGGGAGGGTAGTCAGAGTATTGAACAACTTTAATGGTACATTTTCTAAATTTAGACGCCTCCTGACTAGTCATCAACTGTTGGGATATGGTAGGACAGATTGTGCTTTAATGAGGAATGTCCAGGGGTTTGGGCAGTACTCCTTTAAACCGACCAATAGGGTTTGAGTAGGGCGGGATTGCAAACCACAACAGAAACAAGTATAAACACCACAGGAAGCAATCCAAGCAATATATGTGTTTTGGAAGGAAAGTGAGCATTTATTATTCTCCTTGAAGTCAAGTTCAGCAGAAGAGGAGAACGCAAAAGGTAAGACAAAAGACAAAATATATTTAGTTTATTTAGGGCTTCAAGACCTACAAGTCACCCTCAAGGTTAAGTAAGTATGGTTTGTTGAATTGGAATTAACTTGACCTTCTGTCTAGGTGAATATAAAATGCTTTTTTATGATGACTAGTTATAATCATTGCTTAAGTTGAACATTTTAAACATTGAAGCCCCTTTAATTTACAGAATAGACATGATAATCACAAGTCAGTTCATGTTAATGTTGGTTCACAGTGCAGTAATGTTAACAAATACATCTATTGATCTTAAATGTGTTATTAAATGTTAATAATAATACATTTTATTTCTAAATGCGCTTTTCTTAAACCCAAAGCACTACATGTTAAAATGTTTAATTAAATGAAATGCTGTAAAAGTATTGTTTATTGTTAGTGTAGTTAAATAATTTTAACAAATGAAACCTTTTAAAGTGTTACCTTCAAATATGTATTGCTTCTTAATATTATCTTTTATGAAAATGTTTCTCATTTCATTACTAGTGCTGTTCTAATTTTTGAATATAGGTCTGGGAATAGAGGCAAAATTTTGTGTTGCATTTAAATTCTCATTTATTTATAGTATACATAAAGGTCAGCCATGTCACAAAACATTAACAAACTCTCTACAAAAGAGAATGCAGTCGTTTGGTCTATTGGTGACTGTCTTTCATTTTAAATAGAGGACTTGTTGATTCCGTGTGACCGAGTCTAAGCACGTGGAAATTGACATGTGGAACTGAATGTACACATCGTGATGCAAAGGCCCGTGCCAGTCCTCAGATCACAACAAAGACATGTGGCAGTTCTCTTCTGTCTTGTCACGTGACAGATAAATCTGTACTGGAGGTTCATTGAAATACTAAATAGGCTATTTCTATGACCTATACAGTTGACACTTTGGTGTCCTATTTCACAGTTCTGAGCATAGTTAACCTGTTCTTATTCACAGAATGGCTTGTACATAACATTCACTCTGCAAAAACCCCTTAAAGGGGTCATCGGATGCAAAATTCACTTTTATATGGTGTTTGCATATAAATGTGTCTTTGCAGTGTGTGGACACAAACAATGAAACCATACAATGAAAAAAAATCCATTCACTCCTTTTTTTTTTAAATTCTCAAATAGTCTAAACACTCTCAATGAGCACTATGATGTCATAATGCTCATGCTCCACCCACGACCACTGAAGGACTGTCCCGTATTAGCATATTTAAGCCATTCGACACCCCCTATTGAAGAGAGAGGTGGGGTGAGCAGTTGCTTATTATCATTTAAAGAGACATGCACTGTTTTTGACATGAACACCCTTAAAGAATCATACCACCTTGTGGAAAATGGGCATCCGATGACCCCTTTAAGGGGTTGTTGAATTAAAGGTTTAAAAGGATGGTTCACCCAAAAATGAAAATTGGCCCATGATTTACTCACCCTCAAGTCATCCTGGCTGGGTGTATATGAATTTTTTTCTTTCAGACGAATACAGACAGAGTTATATTTTAAAAAAAATGTCCTGGCTCTTCCAAGCTTTATAATGGCAGTGAATGGCCATTTCTGTTTTGAAGTCCAAAAAAGTGCATCCATCCATCATAAAAGTGCTCCACACCGCTCTGGGGGCTCAATAAAGGCCTTCTGAAACGAAGCGATGCGTTTGTGTAAGAAAAATATCCATATTTAGAACTTTATAAAGTGCTTCCGGCCAAACAAACATACGGATTGCACTTAAGTGTAAAGCGTAACTTATGCGAGTAATGTGACGTACTGTTGATATTTACACATGACGCACTACGCTACTTCCGAAGTCACAAGTTGCGTAAGTTGCGCTTTAGGTTTAAGTGGAATCTGTATGTTCTTTGGCCGGAAGCTAGTTATTTTACTTTTTTATTTTACTAAAGTTTTAAATATGGACATTTTTCTTACACAAACGCTTCGCTTCAGAAGGCCTTTATTAATCCCCCGGAGCCGTGTGGAGTTTGTTTATGATGGATAGATGCACTTTTATGGACTTCAAAACAGAAATGGCAATTCAGATGCTATTATAAAGCTTGGAAGAGCCAGGACATTTTTTAATATAACTTGTGATTGTATTCGTCTGGAGGAACAATGTAGTATACACCTAGGACACAAACTCGTCTCCATAACAGCATGATGACTCCGACCTCCAACCAGATGGAACTGGATAAATATTGTGAATGTTCTGATCCAATCTGACTTCTGACCTGTAATATTGCCTGAATCATAATCATGCACTGTTCGTTCGTTGGCCAGAGGAGAACTGGCCCCCGACTGAGCCTGGTTTCTCCCAAGGTTTTTCTCTCCATTCTGTCACCTGATGGAGTTTTGGTTCCTTGCCACTGTTGCCTTGGCTTTTGGCTTGCTTAGTTGGGGACATTTAATATTCAACAATATTATTGATCTGCCTTACTTAAGGTGGACGATAACGCAATTTTCTTCTAGAAACAATCTTCTTGTATTATTTTCATGTTATCACTGTGAAGCTGTTTTGATACAATCTGTATTGTAAATAGTGCTATATAAATAAAGGTGACGACTGACTAGGATGACTTGAGGGGGGTAAATCATGGGCTAATTTTCAATTTTGGGTGAACTATCCCCTTAATTGGAAGTAAGCTAATTAAAAAAAACATCACTGTTGAAAGAATGTAATACTTATGAGTCAAATTGGCTCAGACATTTTTTGTCATTATTTTGTGCATGATCTATATTAGAAGATTTGCTTATGAATCATTATTTATACATTAGAAACATAAGTACAAATTTCAAAGAAACTGAATATGAAGTATTTGCATAGTAAGTGCCATAATAATAAAACTTTAATTAAAAGTGTAAATAAATGCATAACCATTGGCCATAGATGCATTTCTGACATATTCCATGATTTATTTTTGACACAGTTCTTGATTTATTTTTTATAGATATTTGACCTCCATAATTGACCAGGAGGGGGCGTCCAAACATAAATCAACACTGTGGATTAAATTATTAAACATTATTTTGATCTTTATAGATTTTCCTGTTTGTAGGAATAAGTTCAAGAACTGACTTTGTTCTTAAATACACACCACAAGAACAGATCATTATGATTAAATATTTTTATATGTTTTTATGTTTCCTTGATATTTCATTCCAGACATTCCATGATTCTGATTCTGCTGCCAAAGCTCATCCAGTCCTCATTCAGATCATCTGCTTGGACCCTGTAGGCACTTCATTGATGGGTTGGTATCTTGACAAAACACAGGTCACTTACCTGGGGTCAAGGTAGCTCTGGTAACTGTGCAAGATGAAGTATCTCCTCACAAACATCAGTAATGTGTCTCACCTTGTCAGGAGTATCGGCTCCTCACCTCAGTCAGCAAGGAGGATTCCTCTCAAATCACACAGATCAATAAAAACTAAGAGACTTTTTGGAGCTGTTAGCCGTAATATGAAATATGAGAATGGATTGGGGCTTCAGATGTACCATTTATACTCAACCTCCAGTAGAGAGACATTCAAAGCAGAAGCACCCATTGGAGTTTACCAGAACAGTAGGACTACTTTTCGGATGCACTTACTTGGACTGAGATTAGGAGAGTCTTTTGATCGTCTTTCCCAACACATTAACTTGTACTTTAAGCAGAAACGGGTCTCTGTGATAGATTATGGGCAGATTGAGTTGATATCTTCAGTGCAGGAACCATTTACCAGAACTCAGAGACGAGTTCAGAGAGAGAGACGCTCTGGAGAGTCCAGAGCATTTATAGGGACGCCTTCTATTGAGCAGGCCCATCAAACATCCTCAAATCAAGCCTTGACCTCGGCCTATCCTGGACTACAGCTGTTCCACATCAGCTCCTTGGCAAACAGATTTGGGGAGACTTACAGCTATGTGGCCAATCACATTAACTCTGTATTCTCTCGAAATCCAGCTGAGCAAATCCATGTGGAGGTATCACCAGATGATGGCTTCAGAAGGTCTAGAAGCAGAAAGCGAAGAGTTATGGGTAACAAAAGTGCTCTTTGTTGGGAAAATGAGCAAACACAGCAAAACATTAGTTTGGGTACAAGACCAGAGATTGATAAGAATGTATCTAGTTCCTGGGAAGAAGGATACCTTCACTTTGCCAGTCACATCAATCGATACTTTGGGGCAAAAGTAGCAGATACTGTTGAGGAATCACCAGGTGTTGATCATCAGTTGTCAAAGACTTCAGTCTCACTGGACCCTCTAAACAAAACTAAAGACCCTACTTCACTTCTTCTTCAGCCTAAATCCCCGGGCTTGTTCCACATGAGCAGCCTCGCCACACACTTTGGGGAAAATTACACTTACATGGCCAACCACATTAATCGGTACTTCAACGGATCTGCAGCTTTAGAGAATGAGGAGGTGGGTATAGAGCTATACACAGAAGAACATTACAGAGGTTCATTTGAGGACATGGTGAGCCAGGAAAAACCAGTGCCCTTCTTTGAGTGCCTTTTGAAACCCTCAACTTTACCTGGATTTGTGGGCAGATACCTGGGAATGGGCTCTAGCAGGCGTAGTGACCATACAACTGTAACAAGGACCCCAGAGGAAATGCTGGACAAAATGGTGAGTCTTGCATGACCAGAAATCATAATTTAATCAAACACCTGAACTCAAGCATTTGGGACTCATATGAGTTTCATATGTTATTTTGCTTTGTGTGAAAAAACTACAACAGTAGTCTTCACACAAAGCAAAATAACATATGAAACTCATATTTCCCATGGATGCAGAATACATGTACCATATCGGTTATTTGCTGATATTTGAGATTTTTAAACGATCGGTCAATATTAGAAATGTAATTGTTCATGCTGATTTCTTCAAATTTTTAAAAACAAATTAGTAACTCGTTTAAAAAAATTCACTTGTAGCATTTAAAATGATTGATTTTAGTGATGTATTCTTAACTCATTTAGACAAAATAGTATAGAATTTTATTATCGGGTATCAGCACTGACACAAAATCATTTTCAGCCTATCAAATCATATAAATTTTAATATCGGTGCATCCCTTTGCATTTGTCAAAATGTTTTTTTCAAAGTATTAAATAAAAAAGATAATAAAAGTAAGTTTTACAAGAAAATACTATTTCAGTCTTTCAAAATTTCATGTTTCAGTGTGTTACTTGTTGTCATGTTTACTACAAATGCAGTTTCTTTGTAATCATTTCTGAAATTAACTTGCAATTTCTGAGTGAAAATTGTTTTAAAGTAAAGTAGTAAGTAACTACAGATTTATTTAGTGTATCCTGTGTGAAAGCTTTTGTTTTCTACACTGTATCTAGTCAATGAAATGGATTGAATATAGCAGGAAAGCTGTTTTTTAGGTTTTTAGGAGGAGGAAGGCAGATGAGATGACAAGAGTACTACTGAACAGGCTTGAAGAGGCTAGCGTACCGTCATCCATCACTTCTTGTGTGGAGGAACTGAACACTCACCTCATTCAGCACCCAGCATGCAAGGCTGTGGTGTGGCAGGTACAATACAAGACTCAAATCCATTAAAACCAAATGTAGAACACAATATGTAACTGCAGAAATTTAGATTTTTCAATTCATTTCTTTGATGAAATCCAGGAAAAAGCAGCACTATGTCTCCTTAGACGACGCCGGATCTTTTGGATGGATGAAAAACTTCAAGAAGCCATTAGGGAGACTCTTGCTCTGATTGGCTATGTGGATCCAGTCAAAGGCTGTGGGGTCAGAGTGCTTTCCATTGATGGAGGTGGAACCAAGTAAGAAACACCACATTTAGTCAACGTGCTCTACAGGTTTTGCCTGTAAAACGAGATGGTCCTCAGAACACGAAATCCAGGGGGAGGAGTTGGATCCAGATCCAACTCCTCCCACCTTACATATACCTAAACCTACCAATCTCTGCCCCCTGATCCCTAACCCCACCCCTAACCCTACCCATCTCCACCCCCTGATCCCTAACCCCACCCCTAATCCTACCCATCTCCACCCCCAGATCCCTAACCCTAACCTAATCCTACCCATCTCCACCCCCTGATCCCTAACCCGACCCCTAACCCTACCCATCTCCACCCCCTGATCCCTAACCCCACCCCTAATCCTACCCATCTCCACCCCCAGATCCCTAACCCTAACCTAATCCTACCCATCTCCACCCCCTGATCCCTAACCCCACCCCTAACCCTACCCATCTCCACCCCCTGATCCCTAACCCCACCCCTAATCCTACCATCTCCACTCCTTAGATCTGGATCCAACTCCGCCCCCTGGATCTCGTGTACTGCAATGAGGTGTTACTGTGTAAAACTGGATAAATATGATTCAATGTCTTCCAAAAAAGCTTTAGAGATACTAAACATCTGTTTGGAATTTTAGGGAATATAACAATTATTAATGACAATACTTTTTGTCACTCGTACAGAGAAATGTGTTTATGCCAAGATGGCTTTTACTTACAACTGTTTCTTGCATTACAGAGGGTTAGTTCCATTACAAGTGCTAAAACAGCTGGAGGCTCAAACAGGAAAGCGAGTGTATCAACTTTTTGACTATATATGTGGAGTCAGCACAGGTAAAAATGCACGACAAAGCCTTTATTCACAAAGTCTTTTAAAAATATTTTATTCAGTAAGGACAAGGACTTTTATTCTGGATTAAACTGACAAAAAGTGACAGTAATACTGTTACAAAAGATTTCTATTTCAAATAAATGCTTGTTTTTTCAACTTCATAAAAGAGTCTTGAAAAAAAATGTATCACGGTTTCCATTAAAATAATAAGCAGCATTTTGTTTCTTGAGCATCAAATCATTCATATTGATTTTTGAAGGATCATGTGACACTAAAGACTGGAGTAATGATGCTGAAAATTCAGCTTTGACATCACAGGAATAAATGACATTATAAAATATATTCAAATAAGAAATGGTTATTTTAAATACTAATATTGTGACATATTTTTTACATTTGACTGTGTTTTTGATTAAATAAATGCAGCCTTGGTGAGCACAAGAGGCTGCAGTGTATATAAAGTAAATACTGACTATACTCTTATTATTACATGGCAATATATTATTATTATCATCATATCTTTTTTATCTCTGTGTTTGATGTACAGGAGCAGTTTTGGCTTTCATGTTGGGTCTAGCTCATATCTCTTTAGATGAGTGTGAAGAGATGTATCATCGTTTTGGGACAGACGTTTTTCGACAAAACCCCCTGGTTGGTACAGTGAAGATGGGCTGGACACACTCCTACTACAACACAGAAACATGGGAGATGATTTTAAGGTTGGATTTAAACACTCAGTGGAAGTAAACTATTAATGCCTGCGATGCTTTCTTAACTATTCCCATATGTTCATCATAGGGAGAAGACGGGGGAGGAGATTTTAATTAAAACAGCAAGAGATGAGCTGAGCCCAAAGGTGAATCAAATATACCATCTGTCTTTTAAAATCCAGATTTTCATGATCTCCTGACTGCTGATCTCTTCTTACACAGGTGTCTGCTGTAAGTGCCGTAGTGAACTGGGGGAAAAGTCCGAAAGCATTTATCTTCCGCAACTATAACCACGCTCCAGGAAGATTGAGCCGCTATTCCGGAGGATCAGGGTACCGGCTGTGGCAGGCTGTCCGCGCCTCATCTGCTGCTCCGGGATATTTCCAGGAGTTCCCTCTCCACGGTGACATACACCAGGTCAGAACAGTCAAGTTTAGTCAATTTCAGGACCAAAATATACTTGTATCCAGACCTTTTCCCGTTTGTTTTCTCCAGGATGGTGGTCTTATCCTCAATAACCCCTGTGCTCTGGCCGTCCATGAAAGCCGATTGCTGTGGCCCAATCAGCACTTCCAGTGTGTGCTGTCACTGGGAACGGGACGCTATGACAATGCTAGAAGAGGGCCTGGAACCTCCACTAGTCTCAGAGCCAAAATCAGCAACCTGATCTGCAGTGCCACCGATACTGAGGGTTAGTCTGGTACCACTATAATTGAATAATTGTACAGTTATTAATATTTACATATAATCATTTTATGTTTTATACACAATTTACAATTATTTAATCATTTAAATTTTGTGTGGAGTACCACTATAAGGATATTTTTCACAGTTATTAATACTACAGAGAATAAATGTGCAATTGTTAATTGTTCATAATACACAATTTACAATTATTTAGTCATTTTAAAATGCTCTCTTTTTTATTTGTCTTGTACCACTATGAATATAATTGTAATATTATTCATATTACAGTGAATAATTGTGCAATTATTAATAATTATTATTTTTGACTCTCATGGTAAAATAAATACTTTGGATAAAAGCATCTGTTAACTGGATAAATGTACATTTAAATCCTGAAATAAGTATTTGTAATAATAAAGATAAAAAAATATATATTTTTGACTACTTGCATTTAGCCAGTCAACATGGTGCTCTTTTACACACTTGCATATGTCCTTCACTTTTAAAAAAATTATTTGGATATATTGAGGTGCTGATATTGTTCATATTGTCATGTTTAGGAGTTCACACTCTATTGGATGACCTCTTATCACCGAATGTGTATTTTCGCTTTAACCCGATGCTGAGGTCAAACGTGACACTGGATGAAAGCAGGCCTGAAGTGCTTCAACAGCTGCAGAAAGACACACAGCTGTACTTGGACCGGAACCGACCCAAACTGGAACGTCTGTGTGATGTGCTGATGGTAGAGCGCACAGCGATATGGAAGACACGGGACTGGATCGGTGGGAAAGCGTGGGAGCTGCAGCAGCGCTGGGCTTGAGTGGACTTTACACAGTGCTGACCAGAAATCAGTTGAATGTATGCATTTTTCTGGATGGAAACTAATTACATCACAAATTTTATTTTGACAAGTTACAAATCATTGTTAGAGAAGTTACAAATCAAATCAGTATTTCATGTCCAAATATGCAGCCGTGTACACAGCCATGTTAGAATTAATGTACTGAGTACTTCTGCCATGAAAGCAGATTACATATGTAAATGTAAATTCTGTATGAAAGTCAATATTTATAGACTGATGTATTTATTTCTTTATTTCTGTTTTACATTTTTCAGAGGTTTATGTAATTAAATAAAAAATGCACTTTTCTTTGATCAAACTAAGGGCACACTACTTCTATTCATTAGTTTATTTTATATTTCAATAAGATGACAGCACATAACAAATAATGTAAAGTATAATTAATAATTCAGGTGCTGTTAATGCTTTACCCATAAAGTTTAGACTATAGAAATAAGGGGACATTATAAATGTCATGGGATTGATTTCAAAACAAAACACGTGAAAAACCTTTGGATATTCTCCACTAGTCCCATTATAAAGGTAATAGAAACAACAGCCGTTACCAAACATAGAGACAACTTATTTGAGTGTGGCCATTTAGATGGTAAAGTCACTAATCATCCTGATTTTAGTGATGTTTTCAATGCTTAAATGACCTGAAGAAGCCACATAGTCATCAGTCATGTGACCAGTGGTGACTGGGACATCAGTCAAGAGCGTTGTTTGTTATTTTGGACAGTTGAGTAAAATCTTCCCTCAGAGAAGTTATTTTACTTCAGCCTCTGCTTTTAACAAACTAGTGGACTCCTTTTCTATCATAATAAGGTTTTTACTGTCATGGCTTTGGAGACGAAACATGGACAAAGAGCACAATGATTATGCTTTTGTAAATTGTAAATAGACTGCAAAGGATCCTCCATTTGTACCGAACACTGAAATATCAATTCAGGTAAGTAAAGACAATTCTATTATTTTTTAAAAAAAAAGAAAAGAAAAAAATATATATATTTTTACGTGTATGATTTTAGCATACTTTCTTACCAAACCAAAATAAAATACACATTTATGTAGTTATTTTTAGAATATTTTGATATTAAAATGTTTTGTATCTATATAATCTGGCTTTGCTATTTGGGATTGCATTCCACCGTGACTGGTTGTAATGTCACTGTCAGATAAACAATGTATGTTTCATTATAATGTCATCATCCTCTCTGACTTGAGCTGGCAGTTCTGAGTCAGCTGCTTCATCTGAATTACACTCGTCATCCTAGACAGTGTCAACAACGCAGACAGATATAGAGTCTTATTAAAGACTTGCAAAAATTACTGCAAAAATAAAAACAGAATTTGTTTTCAAATGTAAATGAATGCCAATTTTTAATTAATGAAAGAGCCAGTTGTTTTAGTACATGCTAATTGCTACCACAAAGCAAATACAAAAAAAGGGTAATTCATTTAACAGTTTGGCTTTTTTTTTTTTTTTTTTTTTTACCATGCACAATTCTTGATGTTTATGTTCATAACTACCAACAGTCGGTTTTTTAATTTGCTTTGTGGTAGCAATTAGCATGTAGTAAATCAACTGGCTCTTTCATTAATTAAAAAGTAGCATTCATTTACAATTGAAAACAAATTCTGCTTTTATTTTTGCAGATTCAGTATCTCAAAGCTACGGAGCCCGGGAAGTCACCTGTTGAAAAAAAAAAACAATTCGTGGCGACGGTTTTGCAATCCGTCCGCTCAGTTTATAAACCGTACTCACGAATTCTCAATCTGTTCCCTCGGTTTAACAAATCGTGCTCACGGATTAATAAACCGTACCCACGAGTTCCTAATCCGCGCTCTTAGATTTGTAAACCGTGCCTTCAGTTTTTGCAATCTGTACCCACAAATTCATAAACCGTGCCCACGCTTTCGCAATCCGTTCCCACGGGTTTGTAAACTGTACTCACGGATTTGTGTCCTCTCCCCCAGTCTGTGCCAACCATGCCTTCTGTGGGATGCATTTATTATGTTTAAACTTAATTCTTTTGATGGATAATTTCTTGAATATTCTAAAAAACGACATTTAGGCTACTTGTATCTTTAGAGTCCATTTGTTTAGGAGGAAAAAGCTCAGTATAATAGAATAAGCAAAAAAAGACTTCACATATAAAAAAGAAATATAACACAAGGTTAGGTTATATAAAAATAAAAAAAATAAAATTATTTTATGATTAAAATATTACTGTCTTCAGTGAACTCATTCATAGTTATAAACGCAAATGATAATAATATTATTATTATTAGCCTGCATAGGCCTACATATTTAGAAGGCGCTTTTATCCAAAAAGGAACACAGCAATTAATCAAATGTCAGTCATAATACAGGTTTGACAATAATAATACAGGGCTAAGATTATCACAAATAAACACAAGATTTTGAGCATATAAGTGTGTGGGAGTGTGGAGCGCGCACTGCATGGCACGGGGCGGGGGCGCGCGCGTGAACACTTGCATTTTCTTATCAACAGTGGAAACAACTTTTACTCTATCATTTCTGGTCAAACAGAAAAGAATAATACATAATTCGCAACTACTTTTATTTGTCCAAACTCACATTACAAGAAAATGTAATTCCCCTTTATTAAACATTTAAAATATTCACAAATTAATATGGGGGAAAAAAATCGATTTTACTGGTTTTCTAAGGCCAAATTAGAACCTGGAAATAATATTTTTCCCGCAGTGCTGAATGTGAAGAAGAGCCATGTCTCTGGAACCTTAGAGAGATGATTTATAGGCTAATGCTAATACATGTGTCTGAAAAAATAACGAGGCATTTTAATTGTTGACAAGAATAATAATACAGGGCTAAGATTATCACAAATAAACACAAGATTTTGACGCATATCCAGTGTTTGTGGGAGTGTGGAGCGCGCACTATGCACGGAGGCGCCAGCGCGAACACTTGCATTTTCCTATCAACAGTGGAAATCTATAATTTCTGGTCATACAGAAAAGAATAATACATTATTTGCAACTTTTATTTGTCCGAACTCACAAGAAAACGTTGTGCTTTTGTAAAATAAACAATCAGGCGCGCTTTCATGATCTGCGTGAACTGGAGCGCGTCTCATAAGAATGAACTAAATGAACTGAAACAAAATATAGCATAGCCTACCTATATAAAGCTTGAAATGTTCACTTTTAAACGAACAATTAAAATGCCTCGTTATTTTTTCAGACACATGTATTAGCATTAGCCTATAAACCATCTCTCTAAGGTTCCAGAGACATGGCTCTTCACATTCAGCACTGCGGGAAAAATATTATTTCCAGGTTCTAATAGGCTTTATGCACAGCTGCACTACTTCCTGAACTTCAGCCAGCTCCTTGTTTCCTGTCTGACATTATTGGACAATCTGACATAACTGACAAACAAGGAGCTGGCTGAAGTTCAGGAAGTAGTGCAGCTGGGCATAAAGCCTATTTGGCCTTAGAAAACCAGTAAAATCGATTTTTTTCCCCCATATTAATTTGTGAATATTTTAAATGTTTAATAAAGGGGGATTACATTTTCTTGTAATGTGAGTTTGGACAAATAAAAGTAGTTGCAAATTATGTATTATTCTTTTCTGTTTGACCAGAAATGATAGAGTAAAAGTTGTTTCCACTGTTGATAAGAAAATGCAAGTGTTCACGCGCGCGCCCCCGCCCCGTGCCATGCAGTGCGCGCTCCACACTCCCACACACTTATATGCTCAAAATCTTGTGTTTATTTGTGATAATCTTAGCCCTGTATTATTATTGTCAAACCTGTATTATGACTGACATTTGATTAATTGCTGTGTTCCTTTTTGGATAAAAGCGCCTTCTAAATATGTAGGCCTATGCAGGCTAATAATAATAATATTATTATCATTTGCGTTTATAACTATGAATGAGTTCACTGAAGACAGTAATATTTTAATCATAAAATAATTTATAAATGTTTTATTTTTATATAACCTAACCTTGTGTTATATTTCTTTTTTATATGTGAAGTCTTTTTTTGCTTATTCTATTATACTGAGCTTTTTCCTCCTAAACAAATGGACTCTAAAGATACAAGTAGCCTAAATGTCGTTTCTTAGAAAATTCAAGAAATTATCCATCAAAAGAATTAAGTTTAAACATAATAAATGCATCCCGCAGAAGGCCTGGTTGGCACAGACTGGGGGAGAGGACACAAATCCGTGAGTACAGTTTACAAACCCGTGGGAACGGATTGCGAAAGCGTGGGCACGGTTTATGAATTTGTGGGTACAGATTGCAAAAACTGAAGGCACGGTTTACAAATCTAAGAGCGCGGATTAGGAACTCGTGGGTACGGTTTATTAATCCGTGAGCACGATTTGTTAAACCGAGGGAACAGATTGAGAATTCGTGAGTACGGTTTATAAACTGAGCGGACGGATTGCAAAACCGTCGCCACGAATTTTTTTTTTTTTTTCCAACAGGTGACTTCCCGGGCTCCGTACAAAGCAAGTTAACCAGCAGCATCTGTTCTTCCAAACAAGCTGTAGTGCCACTTTAAGGCTGAACTGATAAAACCCCTCAGAGATATTCTGTATGAATAGAGCCAGCTTACTGCGTCCATTGGGACAGAGGTTTCATTGTCTCGTCCATGGAGGAAGCGGTTCATTCAGGCTCAGGTTGTGTGCTGTACAGTTTGGTGCTTGGCACTGCAGCGCTGCTGATGTCATATGCACCGCTCAGGATACTGAAGCATGGGGAACATGACCACAATTAGATCATACTTGAGTCTCTGTTCACTTACTGAGCTGACTCAAGAACTTTTTTGTTCTGTCGTGACCCTCAATATCGTATTAGCTCATATGTGGAGTGTACAGTAAGACCGTACTGGCGTATCAGGCGTCCCTGGATGCCTGAGCTGATGTGGGATGAGAATATATCTTAGTGGCTGAGATGCTGTTTCCACCTACATCATCTCTTCTGAGTCAAGATTTGCCTTCTGGGATTTTGCGTGTTCATTCACATTCTATTTCTGTTTTTGACCATGCAACTCACGTTAACAAAGCTTTGTACAGTTAAAGTAAAAACATAAATGAGAATCAAAAAAGCAGTTTATCACAAGCAGATTTAAATCTCTTTTAGGTGCAGTCACGAGTCGCGTGACCACCGCATTTTAATTTTTACTCAGAAACAAACATTTCATTCATTGAGTTAGGTTAGTTCTTCAGGACAAACAATGAGGCCCACACATTGATGTCATAATCAAAAAGAATGCAAAATATCTTTCAGCTGAGTTTGGCTATATATGGACTATGGACCTATATACAATATAAAGACTTGTATATTGTATATGTATATATAACTATTACAATAAAGCCTTTGTCACTGTAACGAGCACATATGTTTGCAACTATACTGAGAGAGAGAGAGAGAGAGAGAGAGAGAGAGAGAGAGAGAGAGAGAGAGAGAGAGAGAGAGAGAGAGAGAGAGAGAGAGAGAGAGAGAGAGAGGAGAGGGAGGGGTTGGACGTCATTCATGGTTCATGGGTAGAGTGGGCAAATGGATGAAGACAATGAAGAGGGATGTTAGTTGGAGAGGTATACATTTCAGAAAACATCTGCTTGGTTTGACATTGTTTTGGACCTTTTTGAATGCAGCAACAATAACAAAGCATTCAAGATTGGAATTACATGTTTGGAATATGGGCCAATGATGACAAATGAACATTACCATAGTGAGGAAACATATAAAAGGTAACAATCTCCAGATGTACTACAACTTGACAAATGTGAACATTTGTGTAGTAGAATATTTTTTTTAAACCTTGTTTTTATTTTAGGATTGTGAAATGACCTGCTGAAACAGATAAAGAAGATTTTGTGAATTCTGGATACTCTACTTCAGTTGGTAGGTTGCTTTGCATAATTACGTTGATAAAGATTACGGTGACCTTTACAAATGAACTGTATTGGATCACAAAAATTATGTATACTTAACTTAAAGCCTAAAGTAGAATGCAGTCAGTAAACAAAAGTAGAAAGCAGCCTAAAGTAGAATGCAGTCAGTAAACAAGGCTATTTTACAAGCAGACTCTATGTATTTTTTTGCATATATATATCGTACTGAATTATTCATGCAAAGGAGTAGAACATTTTCTTGTTTTGGGTCTTTTTGTCTTAGCTATTTATAAAGCCATAGCTATATCATATAATAGCCTACTATACTAACATAAAATTCGATATAGCCTAATGAAAACAATCACTGCGTTATACGATAAAATACGACAATAAATGTGTTTGTTGTCCCCTTGATGTAACACGAACTTTGACGCAGTGGAATTAAGCACAGGATATGCAGGTGCGTGAATGCCACCGAATCACAGTTGCGGAAAGCGGAAGGGGGCGGAGACTTAAAATAATACCAGTGGTACATTTGCATATGAAATAGTTTGGTTTGCCTGCTTCATTTCATTATATGCTACAGCCGTCAGCAACGAGCGCTTTCAGGGTTTAGCATTAACCCTTGCACAACACAAACAAAATGATACAAAAGCATTAGTGATGAAATAACTTCAAACAAGATGTTTCAAGCATTATTATGTAAGGGCAACATTTGAGTATTTTGGTGCTCGTATTTTCCCTGTTGTATTATCACAAGGCGGATGCTGTACACGATGAGAGCTCTGAAGTGTTGGAGGATTCCTGCCATATTTACGATCCTACAGCAAATTTGGATTTTAGCAATGGAAATTCCTCCTGAGGGTGAGGAACTGTAGTTTTACCTCAATTTTAACGTTGGTCCTTGTGACCAAAGGAAAGGCTACAAAGCATTATTTACTACATTGTCCTTTTAATTTGTTAAAACATTATATTTGTATATATCCCCACAGTCAGACAACCTCCAATGATCATTAAAGAGAGTGTTCAAGACCACATAGTAGATCCAGTTGACCCCATTATAGTGGAGTGTGAGGCAACCGGGAATCCACCTCCAGTGTAAGTAGGCCTACCAAACTTCAAAGTGTCCACACTTCATAATACATGTAATTCATTAGACTGACTTGATTACTTTATGATTAGCATTTGTTTGTTTGTGTAAAAGGTGCTAAAATATTGACAGTGATTCCAATGTAAAATGTATGCAGTTTTAATGCAAATTCAAATGATTTTGGACAGTTGTGTTAGAGGAAGTGTGGTTGACAGAGAACATGTACTTACATAGCTTCACATGGACACGTGATGGGGTTTACCTGAATGTGGCACGGGATCCTCAGGTCAGCATGAGGAGGCGTTCTGGCACATTAGAGATTTTCTTCTGGGGTCGCCCTAATGACTATGAGGGAGTCTATCAGTGCACGGCGACTAATGAGTTTGGCTCTGCTCTGTCCAGTCACATCCATCTGCGTGTCTCCAGTAAGCCTTTAAATACCATGCAATTGTTAATATAAAACAATTAGTCTATAGATTTTTAAATGTGAATGCTTTGTTTAGAGGCCCGTACGTGGTTGAAGGAGTATCTGGAGCCAGTATCAGTGGTGGTTGGACTTCCTCTCATCCTTCCCTGCAATCCCCCAGTAGGCCCTCCAAATCCTGACACCTACTGGCTGAACAGCAGTAAGTATCTGCCTCAGATGTTTTTGATTTGAAAGATATAGGCCCGGTTTCACAGACAGGGCTTAGATTAAGCCAGAATTAGGCCTTAGCTTGTATAACCGTGCCTTAGAAAATAAAATTACTGGTGTGCATCTTGAGACAAAACAATGGCACTGATGTATTTTAAGATCTGTCAGTGCAAGTTACTTTCTGTTAAAACAGCTCAAACATGCATTTTAGTCTGAGACTAGGCTTAAGCCTTGACTGTGAAACTGGGGGTAAATGATCTAGAGTTAATTCAGTAGCATCAAAATCATACTAGGATGTGCATTTCAAAAGTCAGTAAGATAAAAAAAGAAAAGAAATTAATACTTTTTTCAGTAAGGACCCATTAAATTGATCAAAAGTTACAGTAAAGACATTTATAATGTTGCAAAAGATTCCTGTCTCAAATAAATACTGTTCTTTTAAACTTTTCTATTCATCAAAGATTCCTGAAAGAAATGATCATAAATTCCACAAAAATATTAAGTGACACAGCTGTTTTCAACATTGAAAATAATAAGAAACATTTCTTGAGCAGTTAACCAGCATATTAGAATGATTTCTGAAGGATCATTTGACACTGAAGCCTGGAGTAATGATGCTGAAAATGCAGCTTTTAAACACCGGAATAAATTACATTTCAAAATAGATTCAAATAGAAAAAGTCATTTAAAATTGTAATAATATTTTACTGTTATTACTGTATTTTTGATCACATCTATGTAGCCTTTGTCAGCACAAGAAAAGAAAAAAAGCCCCCAAAATTTTGAACGGTAGTGTGTTTGGATCACCAGTCTCCATTGTAATTATATTATTAATGTTTGTCTAGCCTTAAATAAGCCTTTAAATATACAACCAGTATTTTGTATCCAAGTTCTTCTTTATTCCATAGCTATGACACCAATCCGACAGGATCGTCGAGTATCAAAGGCAGAGAATGGAGATCTGTTCTTCTCCAGTATCGTAGCAGAAGACGCTCTTACGAACTATGTCTGTGTCGCCCGCTTCCCCTTCACGAACACCATCCAGCAGAAACCGCCCCTCATCCTACAAGTGCTCACAGGTCTGTGTGAGGAACGATTTTTATCCTGCTTTAGAATTAAACTTTGAGCAAATTTGTTTTAATATTTCTACCTGTGCCTTTTTCTGTGTGTGTTCAGTTGAGGAAGAACCATGATTAAAACCATCTAACAGTCTAACACATGGTGAGTTAGGACTCTTTCTTATGTTTCTCTTTAGTGTAAACATGCAACAGTACTTTACTGATCCACTAACTAGTCAACAATGCTTTGGCCAGATTTGTAAAGGGTGAAGATTTCTATCAAATGTTTGTGTAGCTCGCATGGCAGCCCATACGCCACCCAAGTTTCTGAAGCCCAAAGGAACTGTCAGCACAAGAATTGCGATGCTAGGGGAAGAACTTATTTTGGAGTGTTTTGCTGCTGGAGTGTGAGTTTTTGAAGTATTTTGATGATATCTCCGTTCTCTGAGAGCAATTCAATGCAGTTGATTTTTGGATTGCCTTTTGAAATCGGTGCATTTCTGATTCTCTCTTTATGTTGTAGTCCGACTCCCTCCATAAAATGGACTAAAGATTGGGACGAGATGTCTATGACTGGAAAGAAGTTGGAGAATTTCAATAAGACGCTTCGAATAAAGAAGATCGCCATGGATGATGGAGGAGAATACATCTGCACCGCTTCAAACAGGATGGGCAGCCTGGACCACGTCATCACTGTCCGGGTCAAATGTAGAGTACTTCATTACTTTATTTCTATTGTTCATGTCTGTCACTATGTGGGTTCACCCATACATGTAAATTCTGTCATTATCTAATCTGTTTTATGATGTTTCAAATCCATATGCTGCCATTTTTTATATGGAACACAAATTTGAAGAATGTTCACGCATTGGCAGTTCATAGTGACCACATCTATCATTGAACAAAAATATATTATTAAAACACCACAATAATAGTCCAAACAACTTATGCTATATATTTACATTTTTATGTATTAAGAGTAATATAATATTAAGAGATTTGTTATTGATGTGTGAGGTACAGACCAAAAATGGCACCTTTACCATGCATCACAACTTATTGGACATTTAAAACATCATCAAACATAAATTAAACATAAATTATGTTTCACCTAATGCTATATTCACAGTACCACTTGAGCTGGTAAGACATGTTGTTACTATTTTTGAAAGATGTCTCTTATGCTCAACAAGGCTGCATTTATTTGGTCATAAACAGTAACATAGTGAAATATTATTACATTTAAAATAACTACTCAGTATTCTTCAGAAATTATTCAAAATATAATTAAGAATAACTGTTCAGAATCCTTTAGAAAGGCTTGTTTGATGCTTAAGAAACATTGTTATCAATGTTGAAAACAGTTGTGCTGCTTAATATTTATGAGGAAACCATGATACATTTTTATCAGGATTCATCGAAGAATAGAAAGTTCAAAAGAACAGCATTTATTTGAAATAGAAATTAGCAACAACTGTAACATTACATTTTTTTAATAATATTATCACTTTTGATCAGTTTGGTGAAGCCTTACTAAATAAATGTATTCATTTCTTTAGAAAAAAAACTTTGGAAAAAAACACAAACGGGGGTATTAGGCCGTGAGACAGAGGGTTGATTGGTACCATTTTGAGGGATTAAACCGCATGGTGATTTTTGTGTAGGTATATGACCCTGTATTTGAAAAATGTGTGATAGCATTAGATTCAAGGTAGTTTTTGGTTACGGAGGACGATTTTCAAACATATGTCAAGAAAAAGGATAAATGAATTTATCTTTAAATAAATTTTAAATTTTATAAAAAATTTATAAAAATTTTATAATAAAAAAAGTATTTTTTTTAAATAAATTTTTAAAATTATAAAAGGATACATTTTTCTCTCTTGTAGTCACTGAACACCTTACCTTGCGGTAGGATGATATAAGTGTTGATTTCTAATGAAAGCTACCATGGATCGGATGCTATCACACATTTTCCAACACTAGAGATGTGTACCTTCATGAAAATCAAAAATAAATTTAATCCCTCAAAATGGTACCGGTAGCCGAAATTTGGGGTCCCGTCTCATGGCCTATATAATTTGAGAATTTCAGCAGAATGGAATATTTTCAGTCAATAACAACTAGTGTATTTATCACACAAATCTATACCATAACAAACATTTCATGTTCCACAAAAAAAAAAAAAAAAAAAAAACAGCATACAGGTTTGAAACAATATGAAGATGAATAAATGACTAGATTTTATTTTCAGTATTCCTTTAAGAATGACAAAATCAAGATAAACATCTATTCTCAACCCTTTTCCAGCGGTTCCATTCTGGGTGGAGAAGCCTGAGAGTCTGGTTCTGTCTCGTGATGACAGCGGTAGTATAGTGTGTAGAGCTGATGGTATTCCTCGACCCCAGATACAGTGGCTGGTCAATGGAGAGCCAATCAGTGGTGAGAAAAACAGCAGCTTCATTAAGCAAACAGGTGCACTGCAACGCATATTAATGCTCACTCTTTCTGTCTTGTCTTCAGATGCTCCTAAGAGTCCAGGCAGGCAGGTTTCAGAAGACACTTTGTTTTTCAGCGCCGTGGTTCCAGACAGCGCTGCTGTGTTCCAGTGCAATGCTTCAAACCAGTTTGGCTATATCATGGCAAACGCTTTCTTGGCCGTAATGGGTAAGAGCTAGAAGAGGCTGGATTGAAAAACACTTCGTTTACATGCACCATTAGCTTTTAGCTTGCAACTGTGCACTGTTGTCTGCAGATATGAAGCCTCGTCTGCTTGGTCTCAGAGATGAACTGGTTAAAACAACAGAAGGCAATAATACTCATTTAGACTGCCCGTATTTTGGCTCTCCTAAGCCTGACCTGCGGTGGTAAATAAATTGTCCTACTATCATTCATCTTCATTATTTCCCAAAACGAATATGTCTATTGTGATGGTGTGAATGAACAAAATGAGGTGTAACTGCATAAATGATTTCAAAATTGAAGCACATAAAAAGTATCCAATTAATATGTATATATTGTAGGTCAAAAGGAGGACTAGGCACCTTAGAGGGAAATCGTCACATGATTCTTCCAAATGGTACATTGGAAATCAGTGACACAAAGCTACAAGATCAGGGAACATATGTGTGTGTTGCAAGCAATGTCATTGGACGAGATGAGAAGGAGGTCCAACTAGAGGTCAAAGGTCAGTCTCTGGAACAGGCCCTGCATTGAAATTTCTGATAAAAATACTTGATTTCCATTAAAAAAATTTTTTAATCCAATAAGCAGATGATTTTTAGATGTTTGATTCTGCATTTTAATTGTATGTATTTTAAATGTCATGTGTGTATATATATCAAGATGATCTGCTTGTTAAAAGATTACATTTACTTTCATTTTATAGAGCCCATTAAAATTGTTCGTGCCCCACGCAATACTATGGTCACAAGAGGGAGTCTGGCTCGCTTTGATTGTAAGATTAAATTAGACCCGACTCTGGACGTTACCGTTACTTGGCTTAAGGACAAGAAGTTCTTGATTTTAGGAAGAAGGTAAACACAATTGAATCTGACCACAAGCATGTAGGAAGTGTTATTAATAATTATTCTATTGGTTAAATGTACCTGACTGCTTTGTGTTCTGTAGGATGACAAAGGATGAGGATTCTCTGAGCATTGCTGATGTGTACAGAAGAGATGAAGGCATCTACACCTGCAGGGTTAAAAGTGAACTGGAGGAGGTCACTGCCTCGGCCAAACTCACTGTGACAGGTACCAGCACATTTACTCTCTCTATACATGCGACCAGTATAAACATGAGCATATTATTCATGTATACTTTTGCTTTTAGACCGGCCAGACCCGCCCAGTGATTTAGAGATATCAGACCCATCAGAGAGGAGCGTTAGACTCACCTGGATTCCAGGACTGAGCAACCACAATCCTATCAAAGGTACATTCACACAAACATAGACGCAAGCAAAAATTCTAAACAATCTAGCCTCACAATGACATGATTTTCTTTCAGAGTACCAGGTTCAATATACTGAAGATCTCCTTGCAGACTATTGGCTGCTGCCGAGCGGCTGGAAGAACCTGACTAGTTACCCAGGCAACCTGAACTCTGTCGTTTTACAGCTAACTCCATTCGTAGAGTACCGATTCCGGGTCATTGCTGTAAATGGCATAGGTCCCAGTAAACCCAGCTGGCCATCTGCATACTATCAGACTGGAGGAGCTGGTAGGTCCTCCTTTTTTTCTGTGGCACACCCTTTTATATGGTTGTATTTGAGGGGCTCTGTAGCGCACCGCATTTTTATGTGATTCACACCAAACATTTTTAACATGATGCCAAGACATTGAAGATGCTAAATTGTGAACGGATATTGGATATCTCGAACAGTGTTGCCATGGCAAGGAATTAAAGTAATGTCAAAAAGGGAAACAGGAAGATTCTCTTATCTTGTAAACAATTAATTATACACTATGTATTTCTTTATAAAATAATACAAATATTAGAAATAAACACTTTTTATCCTTTTTTTTAACTCAATTAATCGCATCTAACATAAAAGTTTGTCTTTACATAATCTGTGTGTAGGATATATACAGTATATCTCATTATATTCATATACAGTATATGTTATATACATATCTGTGTTTGTGCGTGTCTGTGTGTGTGTATATATATATATATATATATATATATAGGCTATACCGGTATTTATATATATATATATATATAATGTATATATGTGTATACAGTATATACAGTATACACACACACACATATATATATATATATATATATACTGTATATAAATATATATATACTGTATATAAATATGATATACACACACATATATACAAACACATATATAATGTAAACACAAACTTTTATATAAGATGCGATTAATCGATTTGACAGCACTAGTTTTGTGTCTTTAGTGCCTGATGCCATCCCAAGAAACATCCAAGGATTGGGAAGTGGAGTGTTCAGAAATAACATGGAAATCAGCTGGGAGGTGACACACTGATGATTGATGGATGTCGATCATTTGAATCAAAGTTGTTAACTGTGATGTAATCACATGCATGTGATTTATATTAACTGTGATGTTTTTGTTGTGTCTGAAGCCACTGGAGTACAGAGAATGGAATGGGCCGAAACTGGGCTACATGGTTTGGTGGAGACGGAGGGATTCGAGGGAGGAGTGGAAGAACTACACAACATACTGGTGGTGTAGCTGCATCATCTATGACACTGACACCTTCACGCCCTATGAAATTAAAGTTCAGGCCATCAACTTCTTCGGCTATGGCCCAGAATCCCCCATTGTGCTTGGTTACTCTGGGGAGGACCGTAAGTTCACATGTACCACAAGTAATTGTTTGGTTTAACATGCATAAAAAAGAGGTTTTGGTTAATGTTTCACTCATATTGGGTTTCTCTAACAGGTCCTGTTGCTGCTCCATCTGATCTGAGGGTGTCAGACATTGAAAGCATGACGCTGACAGTCCATTGGGAACCAGTGGCACGAGCCGACATCATGGGTGAAATAAAGGAGTACAAAGTATGGCTTCTTCGTTGCACAGGTCCATACAGTAAATTAAATGGGCCGCTGATGGAGCTGTGTTTGGTTTCTCAGGTTTATTACTGGAGAGAGAGCAGTCGACTGCCCTGGCACACTGTGAGCAGGAGGATTAAGACCAAGAGTTTTAAAGCTAATGGACCGCGTCTGTCTGGGACCCTATCTGGTCTTGTCCCGTATAGTAACTACAGGATTTATATTGTAGTGGCCAATAACCGCTTTGAGGGTCCGCCCAGCCACACCATTGAGTTTCAGACACTTGAAGGAGGTATGAAACTCTTCACACAGTTAACTTTATGGCAAATCAAACACATACAGGCATGTCTTTATACATGCGTCTCGCTTCCACTCTAGTGCCCACCATTCCCAGGTCGTTCAGGATCATGCACCGGCACTATGACACCATTTACCTGGACTGGGAGGAACCTGCAGAACCCAATGGCATTCTGACTGGCTACATTCTCAAATATCAGACGTGTAAGTGCACTTACATCATGCACTTTGGTGTCCCATGACATTTTTTAAAGCATTAGAGGCACAAATCTGATTTTTTTCATGTCACCCAAGTTTGGGGTGGGAAAAATGTTTTTTTTAAAGGAAGCCTCGTATGCTAGAGATGCGCGGATGGGCTATTATTTCATCCGCAACCGCATCACAAAACTCATCATCCGTCCGCCATCCATCCGCACCAACGTTTTTGACCAATTTTCAAAACCGCACCCGCCCGCCATCCGCTGATTGGGCGATACAAGGCGCTGCTGATGACAGCCGCGAGACTAGAAAGCTCTCAGAATATCAGCAGTGAACTCCGTCTCCGATCGGCGCGCAGGGACAAAAATAAATAAATAGCCTAAATTAAACGCACTTCGGCAAACCTGACCTTATCTGATAGGCTACTGTACAATATTTTCATTGTAGCCTAATAGAAAACGCATTTTGGCACATAATTTCAACATGCTGCTATTATGGGGCGCCAACAATATGTGACAGTTCTCCATTACGGAGGCGACCTCTCTGTGAAAGTTTGAAAGTCTTTTAGTGCCACTTTCAGAGACCTCAAACAGAAGCACAAAGCCTTTCTTTAAAGCGAATTTCGTTTTGTATTAATTGTATCTTAATTTTAATCCATGTTTCATTAACCAATTTCCTGGATTTAATAAATAAAAAGTAAATAGTCTATCTTGATTGTGTAGGCTATTTTTCATTATAAAATTAGGGCTGTCAAATGATTAATCGTGATTAATCACATCCAAAATAAAAGTTTTTTTTTTACATAATATATGTGGGTGCACTGTGTATAATTATTTTATATATATAAATACACACACATGCTTGTATATATTTAAGAAATATTTTCATGTATATACTGTATATAGATTTATATATAATTTATATTATATATAAATATAAATATTTTATATATAAATATTTTTTTCTTAAATATACATGCATGTGTGTGTATTTATATATATACAAAATAATTATACACAGTGCACCCACATATATTATGTAAAAAAAACTTTTATTTTGGATGTGATTAATCACGATTAATCATTTGACAGCCCTATATAAAATATTAGGCTGTGTATACCGACATGGATCAATTATTAATATTAGATTTCATCTGTCTTTTGTAGGCATAGCTGATTGCGCACCAACAAACAAGCACTGACTTCGGCGTTTCTTTAATATCGAGGCTCTATAGTTTATTATATGATTGTTAGGCCTGTTGATGGTATAAAATGAATTGTACTGTGCCTTAAAAAGACGCGCTCTCCGCTCTCTTCCCGTGCATTCAAAATTAACGGGAGTCTTCAGAACAGGCTCGTCCAGCGTCAACAGCACCGAACTTAGCTCCAATGTCAATCAACGTCTGGGCCACTTGGTGGAATCCTTTACCAGAATTTTTTTTTGGTTGTAGGTATAGTCAGATAACAATATTTAACAATGTATACATATATTTTTCATTTGATTGGTTCAACCGCCCGCCACCCGCCCGAATTTAATTAAAATATTTTTTTCCGTCACGTCATCCGCCCGATCCGCGGTTTATCCGCGGAGTCTGCGGCTGTAACCGCCAACCGCGCATCTCTATCGTATGCTCACCAAGGCTGCATTCCTGTGATGGGAAAGCTGAATTTTCAGCATCATTACACCAGTCTTCAGTGTCACACGATTCTTCAGAAATCATTCAAATATGCTGATTTGCTGCTCAAGAAACATTTCTTATTATTATTATCAATTTTGAAGTTGAGCTGCTTAATATTTTTTCAGGATTCTTTGATGAATAAAAAATTCACAAGAAGATTTATTTGAAATGGAAATCATTTGTAGCATTATAAATGTCACTTTAGACCAATTAAATGCATCCTTGCTGAAAATTAAAATATTAATTTCTTTTAAAAAATCTTACTGACTTTAAACTTTTAAACTTTGTTGAATTAATATTCATTTCTATTTAGTAACAAACTTGAATTATTAATTGATTTTAATGATCAAAAAGATATTACATAATAATTGTGTCCCACATTTTGCACTCAAACCCTTTGTTCTCTAATGTCTTTCCCCCCAAAAAAATGTGCATTCCTTTAAATAAAAACTTTTTTCAGCAACACAAATCCTTTATTTAGCCCTATAAGACTGTGATGATATTTTTTCTGTAGTGAACATCACTCTGGGGGACAGAATCCAAGTGGAATACATTCCTCCTAACATCACCTACTTCTCTCTGCACCGTTTGGACCGATACACTCGATACAAGTTCTCACTGGCAGCACAAACTGAAGTTGGAGTCGGGGAGGCGTTCACAGAGGAATCACCCAAATTTACTACTGAGGGTAATTTTCATCTACATTCATAAGATCATTGTTCTGTAAACATACAAAGATTCCTAACATGTCTGCATGATTGCCTGTGTGCATGAACAGAATATACCCGGGAGCAAGTGGACATTGTGACGCAGGGTTGGTTCATTGGCTTAATGTGTGCGGTTGCTCTTCTCGTTCTCATCATGCTCATAGTCTTCTTCATCAAGAGAAGCCGAGGAGGAAAGTACCCAGGTGCAATAGAAATTACATGAGACAAGTTACATATATTTATAATTACGCATTATATATGTGGCAAAACATATTCTTTTGTTTGTTTGTAAGTGCGGGACATGAAGGACTTTGCACTGGAGCCAATGGATGACAGAGAGAATGGAACGTTCGATTACAGGTGACTGTGTTTGATGAGACTGAGTTTTCTTAAGTTTATTTATTACAGGCGGCACAGTTTATTTTCAGTGATGCACTTACATGAAAACAGCATGTTAGATACACTAAAGTGTGAAAAATGTATAAATCCTATAATTTACATCATAACATAATCACAATATCAAAGGTTGATTTGGAATATGTACTGTATACAACAATAATTGTCCCTCAGTTTATAATTCATCACTCCATCCATCAAACATTTCTCACTTTCTTCATTCCTCCTTTATTTCTTTATGTCTTTTGCGGTTGGACCGCTGAAGGTCTCTTGAGAGGTATGATCCATGTCATACAGAACAAGTGTTGTGTAAACCTTTTAAAAATTGTCTTATTTGTTTTACTACAATTAAACTACACATATTCTAGTCTAACTATTAAGCATTTTTTTTAACTGTTTTCACACTACCGTTCAAAATGTGGTAAATTTGATACTTTTATTCAGCAAGGATGCTTTAAATTGATCAAAACGTATCAGTAAAAACATTTATAGTGTTAGATTTATGTTTTAAATAAATGCTGTTCTTTTGACATTTCTATTTATCAAATAATCCTGAAGAAAAAAAAAAACAGAAAATTAGAATGATTTCTGAAGGATCATGTGGCACTGAAGACTGCTGAAAATTCAGCTTTGCCATCACAGGAATAAATTATATATTAAATTTTTTTAAAATTCAAATATTTTAATTATTATATATATATATATATATATATATATATAACAATTAAAATATTTGAATACAATTTGAGACCATCAGAGGTCTGAATAATATATATATTACTGTTTTTTCTGAATTTTCGATCAAATAAATGAAGCCTTGTTGAGCATCAGAGACTTCTTTCAAAAACATGAAAAAATCTTACCTGATCCCAAAGTTTTGAACAGTAGTATTTGTGTTTTATATGTCATGGCTTTGTTTCCATTATATGAATTGTGACTTTTTATCTTCTATATCTACTGCAGGATATCACGAGTGTCCACCATGCCCTATAGCAGACGGTAAGCATCTCTTCAACCTTTGTTTCAAACATTGTTTGGAACAATGGACATCTCCTTACTTTTAAAACTCTCAAATGAATCTCTTCCCCTTTAGTGAGGAGGAAAGTCGACAGGGACGCAGTCAAGGTGTGATCGAGCACATTGACAGGAGAACGAACAGTGACGACAGCCTCATGGAGTATGGCGAGGGGGAAGAGATCGAGTTTAATGAGGATGGCTCCTTCATCGGAGAGTACACTGGTGTCAGTAAGAGGAACATCGACAGGAGCCCGTACCATGACAGCTCTGAGCCCACGTCTCCTGTGGCCATCTACTCTTTTGCTTAGAGCCCATGGTGTCTGATTAAACCACCTTTTACACAGACGGACTAAGACTCGTTTAATCTGTTGGACAGGCTGGAAATGATGTATATAGATGTGTTTTAAAAGTAAAACCGTGTTTCTGGGGATTTACAGAAAAAGTGCCAATCAGGTTTGTTTTTCAAATCCACAAATCATGTGAGAGGAAGCCAAGCAAAGATGTCTTGATGTGTTTATCATGTTGATAAGAAGACAGAAAAGAAATGGCTGATGGAACCTTGCTTCGTTAAACAAACTCATGTTCAGTTTATAAAATAACATTCAGGATCAATTCACACACATTTACATTGAAGAGATGTTGAGCATCAAAAACTTCCACAATGCTTTGTTATTTAACCAGTGTTTAATATCACTGATAGTTGCCACTAATTCTTCTTATGTTTTATTTTCCATAGCACCCTTTTCTCTGTATTTATCTGTTTGCTGTACTGTAGGTCACATTAATGGAATGCAGACCATTTATTCTCACAAAAAATACAATCTAACCCTCAGCTGCTTATTGTAGTATGATGTAGGCCCCTACGTGATGTTTATTGTATATTTTTTGGAGTCTGGTGTAGTGCTTAAGTTATTAAAATGCATGATGTAAATTAATGAGTTTGTCATAATTACAAATATCACAACAACAGTTTACAGGACTATCAAGCTCAAAAGGGAGGGGGAGTGGGGAGATACACAATAAACTTACCATTAAAAGTAGTCTACCTACTTCTGGTCAAATGTTATATGATAGATTTGACAAACCAAAATCTATAATCTTGCCCTCCAAAGCTCACATATATCCCACATATGAGTTGGAAACTACATCAGAGTGAGTAAACGATGAATGCATTTTCATATTTTGGGTAAACTGTTCCTTTACGCGCCCATTGGGAGGCTGTTATGTCGATATTCTCCACTAGAGGACAGATTGAACTGAGCACGAGCTCGGCTCTACCACAAACATTGATGGACACGCACACAAACCTGTATTTAAACATTGAGAATCCACAGTCTATGTAAGTTTTGTATTGTGTTTCATTATAATAACTTTGTCTAAAAAAAAACAGCACAGATAATCTTGAGAATTTGTTTACATTTTTGTACTAATCTTGAGTACAAGTATTTCATCTCATTCAGTCACATTTTTTTTGTGGTAAACAAATAACATTGTGTTATTTCCTTTTTAAAACTGATCAGAACACTGCAGTAGAAGGAAGTTCACAATGTGTGAAAAATTACCATTCATGACTTTATGACTATTTCTCATTTGTTTTATAACGGGTTTAAAGCCTTTGCCTTTTTGTAACGGTCTTGTTCCCATTTTCCCTCAAAAATAGAGAAACACTAAACTTCCTATAAATCCTTCATTTGTGCAAATGTGATAATCCTGTCAGTTTCTTGGCCCATAAAGATAAACAGACATACAGAACAGTCTTTGACATTTACTTCAGCTTTGTGGTTCTCATATCAGAGGTAGGCTATATGTAAAAGTGTGACCCTGCTCAACATACAACAATGAATGGGAAGTAACCTTGTACATTTGCTTTGGTTGTGCATGCCAAACTTTCACCTTATCATCATTTATTTGTTTTATTAGCTACTTATTAAAGCTTATTTTAAAGACCTACAAGTTGTGTGCAAACAAGACTATTGATTTATTTTTAATTAATTTAAAAATAAATCACTTTTAATTTCTTGTTTTGCCCCAATAATCAGGAAGGCTATTTCAGAGTTAAGGACCCAAATATTTAAACGCTTTACTTCCTTTAGTGGACTTAGATATCCTAGGTAACACTAAAAGTCCAGAGTTTTGTGATATTAAAAAGCGTGATGAATTATAGGGTGATAGAAGATCAGTTAAATACACGGGAGCTAAACCATTAGGACCTTATAAGTCAGTAATACTTAGTAGTATTCGATAGCCTACTACAGAATAGGTAACACATTATGTCAACTTGGATAAATTAGAGATTTCATCTGGTCATGATGAAATAACAGAGTATCATCAGCATAACAGTGGAAACTAATGTATTCTTATAATATTACCAAAGGGCAGCATGTATATTGAAAATAGCAGAGGGCCTAAAACAGACCCTTGCAGCACTCCATAATTTACTGACATTTACCGACGTTAAAAAACTAAATTGTAACAGTCTGATAGGTACGATTCAAAACTACCTCAATGCCTGTGCCTGAATACCAGTGTAATTTTGAAATCAATCTAAGAGTATGTCATGATCTATAGTGTCAAGCACAGCACTAAGATCAAGTAAAGCTAGTTTTGAGATGCAACCTTGGTCAGAAGTTAGAAGTAAGTCATTTTTATGAGCGCAGTTTCCAATGGGGCCTGAATCCTGGCTGAAACTTTTCATAGATATCAGTACACTGTAATAAAGAAATCTGTAAAAAATGGAAAAGGTAGCTACTGGGAATTTTCTGCCAGTATCTTTTCCGTTATTTTTACGGACATTTTCTTGAACCCTAAAACACAACACAACTCAATACAAATGCATAGGAAAGCAATGCAAGATACGGGTGAAAAATCAATAAAGAAAATTCTTTCATATATTATTAGCACAGGACATCGGGCCCTTTTTTACGTGTACAAAAAAAAATGGCCTATAAAAAAAACAGCCTACTGATGTGCATCTTAAGACAAAACAATAGCACTGACACATATGAAAGTATATATTTAAATGTACATTTAGCAGATGCTTTTATGCAAAGTGATTTACAGATTATAATGTTGTTGTCACGAAGGTGAGGTTGAAGCAAGAAGGAGGCAGGATCCAAATGCAGCACGTTTATTTAAATACACTTAAACTAAACAAAGACTCAGGCAAGGGAACAAGACTCGGGAACAGAACAACCTACAATCAACGTAACAGTAACAACAAGAACTCACAAGGACTGGACTGAAACACAGGGCTTAAGAACAAGGGCAAACAAGCTAAACAAGATGACAAGGGGCGTGGTTAATCGGGGACACCTGGGAAGACTAATAGAGATAATGGGGAACTGCTAAAACAAGAAATGACAGGGGAACACAGACTGACATATAACAGTTGTATCTTTTACTATACATTACATTAAGTGTATGCGCAAACAAATACTGTAGCCTATATCATAATAGTCTCTGCTTCCTGCAAGTTCAGTTTTCATTATTACTAATCAGGGTATTATAATAGAATACAAATATAATTTAAAAACAATGTTTTTGAATCTCTACAAATGTGTGGCTTTAAAGGGTGGTGAACTTTTATTGTTCATTGGCCATGCAAGGGATCTTGTGACATACAAATGGAATGATGACCAACTTTACAGATCCTTGAAGCCTGAAGCCTGTGTCATCGAACAGGATGTGCACTGAATATTTTGAAAGTTACTAACAAAGATTTGTAATAGGAATTAATGGTGCATTACATTGCTGCCTGAAAGTTGTGTAAGGAAAACATCTTCCTCTTTGTTTGCGTTTCAACTGCTTATGTTTCTCTGTTGTAAGTCGCTTTGGATAGAAGTGCTAAATGCATGAATGTAAATATAAAGATATTTTACAGTATTTTTTGACTCTCTTTGCAGTGGATGTCACTTTGGATGAACTCAGTGACAGAAGACTGAACATATTCTGAAGGGTGTGATGTCTGGCAACATCCAGGACAGATGACAGTGAGCAGCTGTTATGGGGAAATTCACTTCTTGCCTTTGTTTTGGTTAATCATTGGTTTCATGCAGGAGTTCTGTGTGTTTTGGGGGGGGGGGGGGGGGGGAGGGGCTAAAAGGAAGTAATATAAATGATCAATTCTGCACGTCAGCAATAGCAGACAAAGTTTATTGACTGACCTCGAGTCTTCACTTCATGATGACCAAATTTATTTTTCTAACGGGTAAGTGATTGTTGCTCTTGTTCAAACTCTTTTTAAGTGTTTTATATTAAGACTTCAGATGCAAAAGCCTCTAAGTGCCATCTGACATTTTCTAGAATGATCATTTTTATCAAGCTTGTATGTTTATGTTCAGTTATTTCACTTTAATGGCAATGAAAATAAACTGAACCTAAATATTCGAGCTTGATAAAAATGCTCATTTTAGAAGAGAATTTCAGATGGCACTTAGAGGCTTTTGCATCTGAAGTCTTCATATGTTAACATTTCATTTGTATCTTTTTTCAGGCTTTTCCCTGGCATTGTGCCACTTTGGTAAGTTTATTTATTTATTTTTTGTTTCATTATTAAATATTATATTCAAAAGCCACGTTTAAATAATACTAATAATACCAATACAAATGTATCCATTATCCAAACAGCTTGTCCTTTGTAGGGTTGTGGATATAATAATAATAATAATAATAACAATCATTTTTATAAGTTCTGTTTTATATTATTATTATTAATATTTGTGTAATAAATATTTGTGTAGTAATTTTTTTTTTTTTCCAGGATTGGCCTTCCAACTGCTATGCTACTTCACAAACTGGTCTCAGTACAGACCTGGCGTTGGGAAGTACCTGCCATCTAATGTGGACCCAAATCTGTGCACTCATTTAATTTATGCTTTTTCCATTATTAATCAGGAAAATAAATTGACAACCTTTGAATGGAATGATGAAACTCTCTACAAATCTTTCAATGGACTAAAGAAAACGTATGTGCTATCATCTGATGTTTTGTTTTACAGAATATAATGCATTATGTACTGTAGTTTTGAATAATGCTTTTTTTTTTTTTGTACAGCGAATAATGATACAAATATTTGTCTTGACAGAAACCCCAGCTTGAAAACTCTCTTGGCTGTCGGAGGATGGAACTTCGGCTCAGCTCAGTAAGAGTCCAGCTCAAACACTGAATATTGAAGGGTGTGTGTGTAGAACAGAACTGTTTGTTTCATCGTCATGGGATTTCCCGCCATTACTCTAGGTTTAGTAGCATGGTGTCCACGTCAGAAAACAGGAAGACATTTATTCAGTCCTCCATCGCATTTCTGAGGACCCATGACTTTGATGGTCTGGACCTGGACTGGGAATAT